AGTCTTGGGAAGGTACGCATCCAACCACGCATCATGTTACCACCCCCGCAGACTATCCTTCAGCGGGGGGAAGATGGATAGTGATGAAGAGGGGGTAGTCGAGGCGAGGGAACACGTACTTGCATACTCGACTTTATTCTCGAATAAAATCCCCGAAACCATGTTTTGCACGAAGCGAGCCGGGTGGTTTGTGTTGCTGGTTTGGAGGTAAAAGTACGAGTTGAAGGAGCGGGCTTGGATGGCGAGCATCAGGTTACCTGGATACCGGCGTTTCGTCAGTAGATATCCGCATCCCTTTTTTCAAATCAAACAGAACGCAGTAGGTAAGCCAGCAGAAGACCAGGATAAACACTGCACCACCCTACCTCTCTTCTCCATATTCCCATCCCCCCCAACCCTCCCCCACATCTTCACCGCAAAACTCGCAAACCCATCCTCACTCGTACTCTCCCCATCCTTGCCATGCCCACTCTCCCACAACCCCTTTGCCCAACTATGCCCATGGTACCAGTCAAAGCTGCGCGAAAACGGATAATCCCGCCCCGCATAATCGCTCTCCGCAAAATCCTTGACCAGCATATTCGTCCACGCCCGATTGTCGCCCTGCGCCAGCCAGCCGGGGTCCAGGAAGCCAATCACCGCCGACACGTAGACGTGGTAGCCAAAGTGGAAGTGATGGTTGTTGTAATACGTATTTCCAAAATCGGCGCCCGCGTGGGCGAAGCCGGCGTTGGACACGACGCCCTTCCAGCCGTCGTCGTAGTAGAGGGGGAATTTTTGCTGGTTGCTGGTGTACCGGCTGAATTGTTGCTTGAGCTTGTCGAGGCCCGTGGTTGCGAGCATGTCGTTTGAGAGGATGTCCTTGATCACCCAGACGAGGGTTGCGAATTTCGCGAGGGATTTGCCGGCGTGGTACATTGAGTCGAGGGGGATGGGGTCGGTCATTGCGCGGCGGAGATCGCGCTCTGCCACGGCGGCGATGAGGGCGAGGACTTCGGGGGGGAAGCGGAGACGTGGTGTGGAGTTTTGGGCGGGGTTCCAGGGCCCAAAGTGCATGGTGGATGGGAGGGCGGATTCGATCATGGTGAGGTTGTCGGACCAGATTGCGGTGGCTTTGCCTTTGGTGGTGGTGCGGAGTTGGAGTTTGGTTACTTTGCTTTTGAGGTCGGGGTCGAGGGAGAGGATGTGGTGTGGGAGGGCGAACGTGAGGAGAGGTGCGGTGCCGACTTTGGTGTATTGGAGTGAGTAGACGGCCCTTGTGTCTTGGACCACGGCGGTTACTTTGGCTTCGCAGACAAAGGTCCCAAATGTCCTGTCGTAGATGGCTTCGCCTTCGGCTCCAAGCGGGTTCTTCGCAACCTGTATGGTGCCTTTGAAGCCCGGTGGTGCCAGCAAGGTGTGCGAATCCACACGCACAAGTCTCAAACTGTCGTACTCGACGTCGGGAACGGGGTTGATGTAGATGATCCAAGGTCTACCATCTAGGTCCGAGACACGGTACTTGGCTGATCTTCCCATGTGGATGGGGCCAACAAAGTCAGTGAAGCCCTTGCCACCAGTATGAATCATGGGCGTGGCGTTCCTGTAACTAGCAGTCACAAAGCTCATCCCTTGAACAACAGGAAACGTCATTCGGACCGGTGCGGGGCCTGACCTTCCGTTGAGGTTGACATTGACGGAAAATGGCAGATGGGTGTCGGTGGTCAGGGTCGTGTGGCCGTCGAGCTCTTTGGCAGAGAGTATGAGGCACTGTTTCCGCAGAGGATTCTTGTACATCTGCCCATCATCAGTTACCACTTCGATGCATTCACCTAGTCTTTACATACACTTGCCGGATCCCCTGGTCCATACGTAATATCCTGTTCCTCAGCATGCGTCACATTCATACCAAACGACGGCAGCAAATCCGGCACCAACCACCCCTTTCCCCACCATATCGAATACGGATGTGTCCAGATCGGCATATTCTGGTTGCCCAGAAAGGAATTGGTGTAAAACTTGTTCGTATGTAGCGTCCGCCTATCGTCGTCCTCGATCCCCTTTCTAGGCACTGGATGATGGCGGCCAATGGGGACCTGGGGCAGTATATTGTCCTGCTGGATCGGTACGAAGATGTTGTCTGGTGGAATCTCGTCGGGTGTTGCGGTTGTGCCGTAACCGAAGGAGGTCAAGATGCATTTTCTCGTGTCTCGCCATGCTTCTTTGCACGACTCTCGTTTGGTATTGAGGGTGGAGGCTGATGTAGTCGGACTGGAAAAGGGTCGACCCATAGAAGTGAATAAGTCTTGTGCGTAGATTGATGAAGATGAGGTATTTTTATTCGTGGTATGCGCGACCGTGATCGCTCCAGTCAATTGGCCGCGGATTTTCAAAGTGGTGTAGTAGTGTATATTTAGGTAGTACTGCGCATATAGGTAGAGTCGAGGAAGATAGCAGAGGGAGTGCTGTTTTGTATGTGAGGTTTACAGCGTATGCTGTCTTTTCCTTTCATTGCAAAATTGCAATGGGAGCCTGGGGGAAGGAGCAATAGCCCGTTTGCTGCTAGGCCACGAGATGTGCGCATTTGCGCAGTGAGGTCAAACACCGGAGAGTTAGGCACCACCCACTGTTATCCTACACAATTTTTCTTCTACAAGGAAAGTCTCTGAAAATCAAGAGTAGAAAAGGGAGCAAGTAGACTGCCGTGAAACTAAGTGACGAGGAGGCAAAAAATGCGCAGTGACTACTTCTGTCCACAGGAAGCTGCCGTCTTGAAAGAAGCCAACTCTTGCGTCCCCAATACCAGCTCAGTATAAAAGGGGTACACAATACCCACACTCAGATTCCGGAGTACTCCAATATTCGCGACTCGCAAATCAAGGCTCGAAAATACTGTCGAGGAGCAATAGTGTCAACTTGAAATAAGCTAGAAAGCTTGTAGAAAGTATATGCGGAAACATTCAATACGAGATGAGACCGCGAAGATAACAAATCCTGATTCCATCTCCATCATTCGCAGCATCGAAGTGTCACGCAAAAGAAACAAGAATGCAGAGCCATGGCTTTCGTATCAAATTGACGAAAACCCTCCTTCAAATTCCAAGTCATACTGATGAAACCCATCCCACGCCATACTTTTACCCCGTACTTCCCCACCCCCAAATCACATCTCCTCCCTTCCCACCCTTAAACCAACGGTTTCCTCATGGGTGCCACAACCCCCTGCTTAACCACAACCCTCGGCCTCGTGCTCTCCTGGTGCGCGCGCTTACTAGTCCACTCCCTCCCCTTGGGCAGTCTCAGACTACGCTCATACTGTTCCTTCGTCTCAAACGGAAAGGGCAGCTGCGTAGCCATATACGCCACATTGGGTTTCACACGCTTCTCGTTGATAATGACTCTGTCTAACTTCCGATCTTTGCGTTTGGCGGCGTCGATGCCGTCGGTCTTCGTGATGGTGAGGGCGCCCAGGTTGCGCCTCTTTTGGGTCGGCGTCAGGGCATCGCCAGTCCAGGAACCCCAGCCGGGGAGATGGGTGGCTGTTTCGGTCGAGGCTTCTTCGGCGATGGTGGCGCGTTTTTCTTGGGCAAAGTCGGCAGCGACGTTGTCGCCTGCGAAACCCTTGCTGGTGAGGGCTTGATTGCGGTAGAGGCTTTCGAGATCAAGGTCAGCATCGTCCATATCTTGGTCTTCTTCGTCCTCTTGCCCTCCTACAATGGTCGCCCAGCCGTCGTCGTCGGCGGCAGTGACGCGCTGTTGAAGGAACTCGTCGACTGTGGTTTCTTGCGCAGACTTGCTTGATTTGGGCTTTGCTTGAGATTTGGCTTTCGCCTTGGACTTTAGCTGAGCCTTGGCCGGCTTTGCAGTAGAAGGTTGTGAATCCCCTTGTACGGCAGATGATTGATCCGACCCTTTCTGAGGTTTCTTCTCTTTCTTCATCACTGACAAAAATGGATTGACGTCTCCTGTCTCCTTACTCGCAGTCGATGGCGCCGAGGCCTTCTGTGTTTTGCGAGTGCCATTGGAAAGACCACCTGTAGCAGCCTTGGCGTTTCGCGTAGCACCCTCCGAAGCGTGACCATCATCTCCTTGCTCCTCCCTCGCCCTCGTGGTGGCCGCCTCTTCATCCCCAGACTCGTGCTCTTCAAACTCGCCACGAGTGATTTGGATGGCAGGGGCAGTAGCCTGACCACCAGGACCATACTTGCGACGTCCGGCACGCGCAGCATTCTCGTCTTCTTCACTCTGACTTTCTTCACCAGCGAGCTCGCGTCGCAAAGCTTCCTCCGCCTCGTCATTCTGGGCACGCTTCGAAGCCTCTGCTTTCTGCATAAACGCCATTTGCCCCAGCTTCGACTTGTCAGTCGAGAAGGGATTCTGCTTGATCTTGCTGAGCGACTTTTTCAGAGCTTCAGCGTCAGAGAGGTCTTCATCATCATCCGAGGAGTCGTATGCACTCGGAACATCTGAGCCCTCATCGTCTTCGTCTCGAACCGTCTTGCCTTCAACACGACGGCGGAGCTCCTCGTTGCGCCTAGCCATCTCCGTAACACCATCGAGGGCATCTTGATCCCAGCCCGCTCGGCCAGTAGCCTTGATGCCTTTGGCCCACTTGCTTTCGCGATGTTTGGCGCCCATGCGCTCTTCAGCTCTTCGACGATCGTTGTATTCGCGCTCTTCTTCAGAAATATCGACACCGTCATCCTTGAGACCCTGTCGTTCCTTCTCGAGTAGCTTTTCTCGCTCCTTGCGGTGCACGCGACGGTAGGATTTACTCTTGATCTTTTTGATACGTTTTGCACGTACTTCTTCCCGGAAGAGGAGCTCGCGCTCCATCCGCAGTTGAGCACGTCGCTTCATAACCTCTTCGATGGGCAGCTTGTTGGTCTGTAGTTCTTCCCACCTCTGGATGGCCTCTTCGTCCTCCTTGCCATTGGACAGTCCGCTCTCTTGGAGGATGGACTGGATGGTACTTTCAAGGTCATTGGCCGGGGCGGAAGTCGTGGTCGGTATCAGAGTTCTTTCGCCCATGGCCTCGCCTTGGTCTTTGTGCTGCAGCGGGAAGATGAGATGCTCGGCGCGGCGATTCGATTTGATGGTGTCTGTCCAGCGTTCGAGAGTCTCGTTGGCTTTGGCATTGGCAGCAGCCCTATTAAGCTTATCTTGTTGTCGCTTTGGTAGCGGTGCATCCAACTTTCTAGCAATATCATTTCGTTTCGATGACTTGTCGTCAGCAAGCAGCTTGAAGGCGCGTTTCTTTTCTTCATCAGCGACCTTAGGCTTGAGGCTGAGAAGATCGACCTTGCGCGAGACGCCAAATTCATCGGGGACAGCAGACTCGTGGACTTCGGCTGATCGACCCTTTGATTTGCTTTCCTCTTGTGCTGCCAAGGACGAGATGAGGTCGTTGAGCTGTGCCTGCCTTTCCTCATCGTCCTCCTCGTCATCATCATCATCAGATGTCAGATCGTCCGCCCCATCTGCACCGATATCCTCGCCTTCACTTGGCGAGTCATCGCTGTCACCATCACCAAACATCGAATTCTTTTTCCTCTTCTTCTCTCTTTCCCTCTTCTCCTCTCGCTCATCTTCCTCGTACTGATCCAACGCCGTCGCAAGATCAATAGCATCCTCCCCTAAATCATCTTCATCTTCCTCTTCATCATCCGCGCTATCTTCCTCCTCCATATCAACATCACTACCCAACTCCATCTCCCTCTTCCCCTTGCCCTCCCGTCCCTTTTTCATGGTCGAACTCCCACGGAACGTGTACCCCTCAAACCGCTCTTCATCGCTCTCACCAAACGCCTCGTCGGAATCAATGTCTTCGTCGTCATCATCCTCTACATGACCCATTTGCCACGTATTCCCTTCAGAGTCGCTTCCCTCATCAAAGCTGTCATTCCCACTCCTTCGTTTCCGCCGTTTTGGGCCATCTTCCTCGTCCTCGTCCCCCTCGTCATCCTCATCCTCGTCGCCGTCGCGCCCACGCTTCCGGTTAAACGCCGGATCCGCCTCACCAAGACGATTCTTGCGAATCTTGACTTTCTCGGGGTTTTCGTACTGGGCGATAGCAAAGGCGTCCAGGGCGCGCTTTGCCGCCTTTTTGGGGTTTCGCGCGTTCGGCTTCTTGGAAGATTTGGCAGGCGCACTGCCTTGCACGGAGCTGCGTGCTATCCGTGGAGGCATGTTGGCGCGCTGCTTGGTTGTATAGGTGTGCGTGAAGTTGCAACTTCGAACTCTTGGCCACTAGCACTTTTTTTCGCAAGTGTTGGCGCACGTGACACCATGCGCTCTGAGCACCTCCGTCGACAACTCCGCAATCACTGCCCAGACGGCCACCATGCTCCCATCCCCGAATCCGACGACACGCGCAAACGTCGCCGGCATTGTATACTGCATAAACTAAAGGAGAGGGCGGGCGCTATCAACGCCTACAACAGCGATCTAAAAAAGAAGGGATATAAAGAAAAAAGAACCAACCAACCCAAACACAAAAATGTTCAAACCAACCTCACCCCTCCAAAAAATGATCCGCCGCCTCCCCCTCTCCACCAAGCAAGCCGGAAAAGAGTACTACAAGGGCAACCGCGTAGGCAATACCGGCAAAATCGACAAATTCGGCAACTTTGCCCCGGATTGGAGTAAAATCAGAACCTACGTATTTCCCGTACAAGGCACACAGTATGCAGAGGTATGTTTTCTCCGGATTGGGAGGAGGGGGACGCAATCGCGCTGTCTACATGTATAAAAGCATTGCGTCTCCCATCCCACCGCCCTCCTTCCCCCGTCCTCCCCCAACCAAAGCCCCAAGCTAACCCCGCCCCCCAGCTAACCCCCTTCGTATCGCGCACAATCCCCACGACCCAGCGCTCCGCAACACGCACGGCCGCGCCCTCGCCCTATCCCGCTCACTTCTCCGGTGACGACTACCTTCGCGCGTGGAAGCTCGGGGGCGGGTACGATGTGTTGGACGCGGAGGCAGGGAAGAGCGTGGGCAAGGGGAAGAAAGCAGCGAAAAAGGATGAGAGGGGGGGAAAGGGGAATTTGCCCGTGGTGGAGGAGGCGGCGGGGGCTGGGGGGAAGGCTTGAGAGGGATGGTGGGAGATGGGGGGGTGTTGGAATATAAGGGGACTCTGTGGCTGGAGTTATGGTTGGGAGAGCTGGGAGAGTATATGGCGTGTGTATAGTACAGTGTGTACAGGGTATAGCATGTTAGAATCTTCGCGAAAGAAGGGGGAGTCGTTGTGTTTGTATAGATTATCGCGTTATAGTATATTAGCCGGGTATCTCACTTACTTGGAATATCATCTACCATATACACATATACATGCACATCTCTACACACCAAAAAAACTGAACAATCTATCTTCATCCCTCCGTCCCCCCATCTATATCACACACCACTCCTCACGCCACCCTCCTAACGCCCAAAAAATAATTCCCCCACGCCTCTCCCCCCTGTACCTCCCTCCACCCCACGCCCGGCACATACACGACGCCCATAACCCTGACGTCTCCCCACCCCTGCTGCCCTGCAAACCAGTCCCTCAGCTCCGCCTCATTCACATACTTGGCCCACTCATGCGTACCCTTGGGCACCACGCCCAGCACATCTTCGGCCAACACATTCGTCACCAGCCAGCTGGTCCACGTGCGCGCAATCGTGCTGAGCACGAGCCAGCCCCCCGGCTTGACGTGCGGTAAGACGTGTGAGAGAAAGGGTCCGGGGGCGTGTACGTGTTCGAGGACTTCGAAGAGGGTGACGATGTCGAAGGATGGGGAGGTGGAGGTGCCCGGTGGAGTGAGATCCTCGATGGAAGTGTTGAGGTAGGTAAGGCGACCCGGTTGCATGAGAGTTGGATCGCGGCGTTTGTGGGCTGAGGCGATTGCGAGGACGCCTGGTGTAGGGTCGATGGCTAGGACAGAGGAGGTAGTTGGGAGGCGTGCTGCGCTTTCGGCGAAGATACCGCCGCCGCAGCCAATGTCTAGGTAGCGTAGTTTTGGACTTTGAGTATCTCCTTTTCCTGGCCCTTGTGTTTGAGCTTCTCCTCCTCTTCCTCCATCACCACCACCAGCGGCCCGACACCGAGCAATAAACTCATGCCTCAGTGGATTCATGAGATGTAGCAATCTCGAAGGACCATGCGGATCCCACCAACTCGACGCCAACGCATTGAAGTGGGAGACTTCTGTTTCATCGACGGTGGAATGTGTGTGTTGTGCTGAATGAATGTCATGTGTGCGAGGCGCGGTGGTGCAGAGGGCACGAGATGCAGTGGTAGAAAGGCTACGAAGCCCTCCCCCCATACCTACAGCCGGTATGCGCGATACACAACCCCCAAGCGGCCTTTGCCATTGCAATCCGCGCCGCTGTACTGATCGCATCAGTCTGACAGGTATTTGCGTGCTCATGCTTCAAGTTGTGAGGTCTGATGGGGTAACTGGCTCGGTGGATGTCAACGTTGACATCACCAGGAATTTTGCGCACGGGCCAGTCTTTGACAATGCATGGGACGAGGATCGGCATTGATCGTCAGGAACCAATATGACGGCATTTGGGGGGGACTTTCGATTGATTAGGTTATTATTACATGTGGTAGGTAAAGCTTTGATGATGAACATAGAAGTATTTGGGCCCGAATGCCAATGATGCGGGCAGCACTTGACAGGACGACCGTTGATATGTCCTGCGTTGAAAACGGATTGACATGTAATTTTGCATATATTGATACCTACATGACTAGAATATGGCTTTTTTTATATCTTAATACATCACCAGGACAAACATCTCCCACATCACCTCCTCTGCCTTGAGCAACACCCACAACCGCCACAGACACCCATAAGAACAAAGCACAACCCTTCAAGACCTCCTCATCGGACTTCGAAACCCCACTCCACCAAACGTACTCCCCTTCTTCGGCGTCGTCAACCCACCCACCGAGTCTGGCGTGTCCATCCTAACACCACTGCCACTGCCACTCCCACTTCCACTTGCACGATGTCCGTTTCCCACGGCCTTGTCCGCGCTTCCAGGCGCCTTGAACTTCACCTGGCTGCCCCTTGCGTAGATATCATTCAGCATCTGCTCCAACACGCCCGCATCCACAAACTCTTCGTATTTCCGCCATAGCTTCAACGCCGTCGTCGCGTCCTCGATACTATCGTGTGTGTCCTGCTGAATACTCTCCTTCAACACACACCAGGCCAAAAACTTGAGGTTGAGTTTACGCTTGAAGTCTGGTTTGAAGAAGAGGTTTGAGGTATCCACAACCTGGGACTTTGGAACGTGGATATTGATGGTACGGAAATCATTGGCTAGAGAGTGACCGACAAATACACAGCCGAGATTGAGGAGGAGCCAAAGTTTCTTGTAGGCATGTTTCAGGCTTACTGGAGCGTAAGGCGAGGTTTCGCGATTGAGGTCGCCAGGGGATATACCGGACCATTCCGTGAGGTAATCGACAACCTGTTCAGTGACGGCAATATAGTCGTCGATAAAAGGGAGCCCGGCATGTTCACCAGAGCCTCGACATACAGAGACACGGGCGAGGCCTTTGCGGTCCGGTCGGATCGTTTGGCGGGTACCGTCTGCCTTCATCTCAATCTCTTCCGCTTGGAGACGGATGAACTCTGCATCAATAGCTACGGGGTATCCGGGGCATGGGGCTTCAGTGGAAGGTTGGAGGAGCTTAAATTTATCTTCTGGGGGTGGTGGGTTGGAGGACCACCAGCGATAGAGAATGGAAGTGTCGAGACTTTGCTTCCAGGAGTCGTCAATCTTGTTTCGCGCAGCTTTGAGCTGGAAGTTCAAGACCGAGGGGAGCTTCCAGCTTGGTTCAAAACGCAGTGCTTCCTCTTTCGGTATCGGTCTTACCAAGAAGTCATTGAAAAGATACCATTTATCTTCCGCATCCGGTTCGCGAGAAGAGGGCCCGGTGTTGATGGTAGCCACAAGATGAGGCTTTTGGTGTTCGCCGCTGTTGATGTCTGCAACTACTCCGATAAGCTCATATACCATGATGTCGAACACACCGCGCTGCAGGTGCAGCTTGAGATCCTGGCCCTCGAAGCAGTAGAACTGGCCCTGATCTACTATAATACCAATCTCTTGTGGTAGCCAATTCGGGATAGCCCACAATAACTTCGCCTCATGACTCTGGATCGCTGCGTTGAGCATTAGGACGCCAGGGACAGACTGTATAGTCTTCCTTTGCACCATCTGTTGATAGCGATTGCATTTTGTGCACCATCCTCTAGTCTGATCCTGTCGCTCCACGCTGGCTTTCAGGATTTGCGAGAATGTCGGGCGTGGTATCCGGGTATTTTTCATGACGTGTTTGGCAGGGTATACGAGCTCAGAAACGAAGTTCTTACCTCCGCGAATAGTCTCATTGGCACATTGAGCACACCGCATACTCGCTCTTGCCTGTGTCTCTAGTACTTGGTCCATTGCTGATGGTCCAGGCTGTCCTGGCAACATCTGCCTAAACTCTTCAGATACCTTGTCCAAGAGGAAACGATTTAAATTCTGGATCATGTTGGTAAGTGCGACATTGGGTGCAAATTCTTCAAGTAGATTGAGCGACACCGCATTTGATAGCCCGCTAAAGGTCTTGAGGAAGTTGGAGGCTTGGCAATTGAGCCCAGCAGCTTTCTCCAGCATGTCTATGAGGAAGCCCAGTTCGCATAATAGGCAGGATTCGAAGAGGCACGGCGAGGCGGTGTGTTGTAGCGCAAGATTACGTATCAAAGGCGTGAAACGAAGAAGTTGTAGTAGTGGGTTGGCATATGAATTGGTGATGTGAGTTTCCAGCCCAGAGTAAGGGGTTTGATTATAGTAACTGTCTCAGTCAGCGATATCCTTTGTTCAACATCAAAGTGAGAACATACGCAAAATCAAAGTCATCAACACCGAATTTGCTGTACTTGATCTCGACGTTGCCATACATTGCAGGAACATCTTTCCGTGTCACATCATCTAGATGGAGATCTGTCAAGGTCTCCATGGTCTCCGCGGTTTTAGAGTCGGGTTCAACGACTGACTGCGAGGCTCGACTCTTTTCGCTCAGGAACTTTGGTGCTGTGAGGGAGTCGAGAACACGATCGCCAAGTCGGGTGACCTCCACCTGATTCCTTCGTTTTGTTCGAGGGTTCTTCGCAAAGAAACCAATATCCGCACGAGTCATACTGCTGAGGATTGCGCTGTCGATTTTGACCGGCGGAGCACCGACTTCGAAGACCATATGACTTGGCCAGCTTGAGAGTAATTGCTCTTTATAGTAGGGCATGCCGACTGTGTTTAAAGGACTGTGATGTGTGAGATAGAGTTGAAGTAAGAATTGGCCCAGCTTACGTGTCTAAGCTCCAGTCCATTGCTGGAGGAGGTATAGGATGATCTGCAGTCTCAGTTGGATTACTATACTCCGGAAAGTGCACTTTGGAAGGGGAGCCCCAAAGGTGAATATGAGAATTTGAGTCTGCCAGGGCAAAAGCTTCACCAGATGGTGCCATCTCGAAACCTGCCAAATATGAATCGTATAGGTTGATTTGGCGGGGGACGGCGGCATCGGGGTTCATCAAATCAATGACGTGCATCTGGCCGTTTTGTGAAGCTATGAAAGCAGTAGTCGACATGCGAGGGTGCATTCGTACAAAGGCTGCGCCAGTGTGGAATGGGATCGGAGGAAGCTGCTTCAGTGTCTTCAGGGAGAAAACGTTGGTAAAAGGATCGAGCATGTAAGCGTATTGTTGTCTTGGAGACCAGCCGCAGGTTGCGAGAAAGTCACCCTTTGCGTCCATGTCGCTGATGCTGCCAGTATGTCCTTCGAATACTTTGATTACTGACAGGGAGCCTGAATCGAGAATATGGATACCGCCAGTCTTTGTCGCAGCGCAGAGATATTGACCGGCACGCTTCATGATGGTGTATTGGGCTTCCGCAAGTACCTGCAACACGTCAGTCTTGCCAGATTATAGATGTGGTCCATGCTCACAGTATCTGTGATGATGCCCTTTTCTACGTCCACTTTGAACATGCGCTCCTGACATCCTGCAACGAGTATTTCGCGTGTGCCCTTAGAGGTGAAGTTCATGCATTTGAGGTCGACGAAGTCGGAACTCCTACAAGCTACGATCAGTAGCTGCTGAGAAGTGTATGATTATGCCAGGACTAGTGTGACGACATACGTGAGATGCCATTGTGTAAGTCCCCGTCGATGGGAGTAGTGGACGCTCTGCTTGGATATCGATAGAATGCCCTTTTCTGTGAAGAGGAACTGCTTCACGGGACCGTCGGCGAGAGTATGTCCGCGGTACGACGTATAGCGCTCAAGATGAGGCCCGTAGAAAGACGTGACTCGACCCTGTGTTTCGTTCATGCGTCAGGATACATGGTAGACACTGAGGCGCAATAAGGAAAAAGGTCTCACATGGTTGTTGCCGGTCCACAACAGCTCTTGGGTCGTGTCGAAAGCGAAGGTGGATATGGGGACAGCAGCATGATGCGGTCCAGGCGGAGGCAGCTGAGCGATGGCTAGCTGAACAGGGTCAGTCACGGTGCACTCATGCTTGATACTGCCTTCAGGTTGAGGGAGGGTGAAGTTGGTAACGCGTCAGGCAGCGTTGTGGTGGTCATGTACCTCGTCCCAATCCGCTTCCATGATGAGAACGCGTTCTCCAAGTCACTGCACCTTGCACACAGCTCCGACATGCCTTGCGCCTCGTATTTGTGGCTCGCGACGCAAGTGCTAAGGCTTGAGGCGTGGGGTGAGGTCGGGGGGGAGAGGGGGCCCATGTACCGCGGCGACGCAGGGTTCGCTGGACGTGGGGCAGACAAAGCACGAAACCTCGTGCACGCATAGACTACCTCGCACTACACATGTAACCTACCACCCACAGTAGGACCCATGTTGGACTCGTAGAAGGCTCTTATGCAAGACTGCATCATCAAGCGTCACAGCATACAATAGGTATTCGAATGTTGATTCTGGATTTGTATATCATCTTTCATTGAGAATATACATACTCCCCTGGTGCAATTCGCCAACGGGGCTGTTTCCTGAACCTATGGTATGTACACGAGTGGCAGAGCTCATGTACCTTGCGCAAACTATCTACAGGGTAAGGTCTTACCTGAAGATATGTAGACTCTCGTTAGTCAATGAGATTCGTACCAGCCGTCAAAGGTTTTTGCGGCGAAGAAACGAAATGTTTGACAGCAACAGATGAACGCCTTAACGCCAGATGTATGCAAGGGTGTGTGCTCAATTCGTATGCACAATCGTATGGCGTCAGAAGGAGATGTCGTATCAAGGGCTAGAAACAAGTCAGCCTCGGATCCATTACTGCAAAGCTGATGAGCTGTGCGTAGGTCTTCTCGTGTAGATGAAAGTCTACAGAACCAAGCCGTCACGAGTATGCCTAGTCTAAAGTTGGCCCAAGGGCAACGTAAGCCAAAGAACCTAGACTGCAATGGTCGCTATTCCTCGTTCACTTACTAAGAGAGTGTTCAGAGTGCGCAATACGCATACTCAGATGCGCTTGCGAGGGTGGGAAGGCTGCGAGGGAATAGTGTCTGGATGTTCTTCTGGGTCCAGCTCTGCATCGGCCTTGTGGTCGTAGCGTAGACGTTTATGGGTCTCGGTCATGCCCTTGCCAGAGCCAGTGAAGCCCACTGCTTCCTATCAGTATGCGCTGTTTAGATATGAGGAATGCAACTTACCCCGACTGCCGGCCTCAGTGCTAGTGCGGAACATGGAGTCCTTCTTCGTGATGCCCTTCTTACTGGCCTTGGCCTGGAAGTCATTCCAGGCGCTGGCTCTCTTCTTGAGGATGCCCTTGTTGGGGACACGGCTCGCCGGCTTGATGTCGGCATCGTTTGTTGTGGCCTTGTTCTTCCCGTTCTGTGCGTTGGGGTTGATACTGGCGGGCCCCGATATGACATGGGGAGTCGAGGTGACGGAGGCAGCCAGGGGAGGAGCTTGTGCAGTCTCTGGCTCGCGCTTGCGCTTGCTAGGCAGAGGGCGTACGGCGGCGCGGTCGACGGTCAGCGTATCATCGTACTCGATGAAGCGCACGAGATACTTGGGCGCAGAGACAGATCCGAGGATGCTCTGAATCTTGGCCTTGTACCACGACTTGTCTGACCACTGCGCCTCGCACATGTCCCCCGTACTGAATACGTGATTCTTCTCAGGCTCCTGCTTCTCGACTGTCTTCCTGAGCAAAGGATGCTTCTCGGGGTCGAACTTGGGCCCATCGGCTTGGGGTGCTTGCGGCAGCTGGGACTCGAGCGCGGCGAGTTCTGAGCGGAGGGTTTTGAGGATGGCATCTTGGGTGGTGATGTAGCCTTGCATTTCTGGGCGCATGGCCTCGATTTCCTTGTTGCCCGTGGCTTCATACAGCTTCTCCAGCTCGGCTAGTTCCTTGACCCATTCATTGCGCGTCGCCTCCTCTTGGGCGATCGCCTGTTTCTTTTGGTTGATTGCGATCTTCGTCTGTTTGATTTCGTCCGCCATGGCGCCTGGTCGTCGAGGGCTGTGGGGGTTGAAGTGGTGGGGATGTTGTTGTTGTCAGTGGTAAACAGCCCAAGTATGTTTTTCTTGGTAGTTGGAACTCGCCGTCAGTCGGGTCGATTGATCAGTGGCTGCAAGGAAGGGCAGTCACGTCCTTCTAAACGTTAGCGTGCCAAGAGGGCCATATCCTGGACCCGGGTGAGGTTGTGGAGGAGCCAGAAAGTAACAGATCGAATAGTAACAGAAACAGAACAGTACAGTACAGTACAGTACAGGAGTTACAACATCTTCGAGTACTGTGTACTAACACCTTGTGTGATACTGTAATTATTGATTATACTGTACGTAGGACGCCATACCATCTGTCCATCACAAATAGGCATCTATTCATGAGGCCAATGCCGAGCCTCAGTGCCGCAGTGCTGCACGTGAAGAGGCTGAGAGACTTTGGTAGGTAGATAGTCTGTGTAGTAGGACTACATAGTTCCTAGGTACTAGTGTACAGTAGGTACTAGGTACTGTGTAGTAAATGGGCGTGGACTTTTATCCACCTGGCTGGCCAGGTAATTGGTGGCAACAGCCGTCACGTGTTAGCCTCACAAGCAAATGCAATACCTGCTTGTACTACTACTACTACTACTACTACTACTACTACTACTACTACTACTAGATTGACGAGAGAGATGGCATCTCGCCTCTGGATGGGCTCTCCAACAGGCATTCCACTCCGAACATGCGCTTTGACTCATGCATGTCCATGTTTCGCCAGATGGCCATACTCTAGGCGTACCATACATATCGGACGTACTACTCCAACAGTAGATTCGACTCATCCCCCCCTGGAGTACAGTAGCAACATGTCATGGCGCTGCTGCCACTGTGTCGTCGGAGGAGCCATTCCATCCATTCAGACTGTCCTGTCTGAACGGCCGCCGTCGGACCAAGGTGGACACGAGGGCGCAGTTCATATGACCATGGAATTAGCGCTGCGTGAACTCGTATTTGGCATGGGGTTAGGCCGTGCCAAGCTCTACTAGCTAGCTAAGCGAGGTTAACTAAACATTATGCTGTAAGATTTTGTAACGCGTTCTAAACCTATTCTAAACACATTCTGTACTAGTAACACTATAAGCTGCTGCCGCTATACCTATTACTAACGTATCCCTCTTATCCTACGTAAGCAGATTAAAACGTGTTTAGAACGTGTTCTTAACAGGTTACAGAAGCACTATTAATAGTACCTTACCCTTAGCCGCGTCCTAGATAATATTAGGGCATAGCCTATGGTTAGCCCTAATAGGGTAGTTAAGATAGAGAGTAGAGAGCGCTACTACTATGCTAAGATTAATAATAAGGGCACCTTATATAGAGTAAGAACAGGTTCTAAACGTGTTCTAAATAGGTTCTAATATTCTTAGGCTATTCTAGGTACTAGGGGCACTCTATGTACCTATGCTAAAAAAGATTATAGGCTTAATATAGCCTACTATAAGGTTAGTAGGGTTAAGAAGACTAGCTAGCCCTCTATAATAGAGGTCCGCAAGGTAAAAAGTAAATATATTATTAACCTATTCTTAACTTATTATGCTAATATATATAGACTTCTATATAAAGGTTATACGTAATTACTAGAATACTCCTTGCTATAAGTTATTTAGAATATATTTAAAACTTGTTACTAACGTGTTTTATAGAAGTTCTCTAAGCCTAGCTAGTAGCTACTATAGGCCCCCCTATAAATGCTAATACCCTCCTAAATATAATTTAGAAGAAAACTCGCAGTAGCTATAATAGCAATAAGGTACAGCCTGCAAGAACCTATTAAAAACACGTTACTAACTTATTACAGCTTAACTTTGTTGCTATATCTACCCTGCTAAGGATTTAAGGTTATTAGGTTCCTTATGCTATCTACGCTCGCGATTATCCTAGCTATAGTAAGTTATTCACAATATATTGTTAACCTGTTCCTAACATATTTTAAGACTATTACTTTAATGCTAGTGTGGACCTTGCTAATTCCTGCTAGAATACCGCCTAGTTCCACTTATAGTATGCTTTTATAGAGCCTAGGGAGGATAGAGAAGATACTAGAGAGGGGGAGGGAGATAATAATAGCAACAAGTAGGAACACGTTAAGAACGTGTTAAGAATAGGTTCTAATAAACAATATATAATAGCATATAACCTAAAGGGGTAGTAGTAATTACTAAAATAAACTCTCTACTCTTCTCTTTTTTTTTCTATTTACTAAAAGTAAAGTACTATTTACTTTTATAGGGTCCTTTAATAGTATATAACTTTTTCTTTTAACTTTTATAGGTATTGTAAAGCTCTAGCAGTCCCTTAGATTAAAGAAGAATCTAGTATTTATAGGTGTCTAGCTATAATATATTATTAACATGTTCTAAACGTGTTTTAAGAGACTAGACTTATATCTCCTTTTTGCTACTTTTGCTAAATATTATTCACAGTGTAAAGGGGAGCAACTATTTGCTCCTCTTCTTTACTCTCTACTTCCTCTTTAGCCTCTACTCTAGCTACTACTTCTTGTTGTGGACTAGCTATCTTAGAGGGTTCTTAAACCTTAGAGGAGGCACTTAGTGTAGTCTACTCTACTAGTAGAGAATGTATTATTAACGTGTTTAGAACACGTTCTTAAGCATTCACTATTAAGCTCCTATAGAAGATCCTTGCTTCTATAGTGCCTTATATTGTGGTTCTGCTACAGTTTACTAGGGCTATTTAAACCTTAGGATAATACCTCTTAAGGTAGTAGATAAGATTGCCTCTATTAGAGAAGTAATGCTAAAATAGTTGTTAATATATTATAAACGTGTTCTAACTTACATGCATACATACTCTATAAAGTTCCTGTACCCCTAATCCAGCCTAAATAGCCTAGCAGAAAAGCTCGCCAGGAAATACTATACACCTATTATTTAGGTAGGATATTACAGGAGAGAATGCCCTAGTATTAGATAGAAGTAACTTAAGCTTAATATATCGCTAGTATAAATCCTACTTAGTATTAGAACAAGTTCACAATGTGTTCCTAACGCGTTCTATTATATACTAACTTTAAAAGATCTTTGTGTACTATATTAACTAGTTATATCTAATAATATTAGGAAAGATAGATAGTAAAATAGTATTAAACTCTTAAATATAAAAAGTTCTTATAGAGTGTAAGAAGAAAGAAGAAGAAAGAGAAGAAGAAAGAATATATATTTATCTGCTTATATATGCTTACGTAATAGACTAGCAATATATTACAGAACTAGTTAGGAACTAGTTACTATATTTATAAACTAACCCTACCTTATATAAAAAGCAGCTATCTCTTTCTTAAGTTTAAACTGTGCCTTTTATAATTTAAACAGTGCCTTTTTCTATATAAGTTCTTCCTTATCTACCTCTAGCTTTTCTTTTCTCTCCTTTAGAGCCTAATTACTAAGAAGAGCCTTTTATTACAAAGTTTATAGTTGCAGACTAATAACAAGTTAGGAACGTGTTATAAACGTGTTTCGCAAAGCATACCTTTAGGTTGCTATTAGTAGAGGAGAAGAGCCTAGTGGTAGAGAAGATAGAAAAGGGGCTAGTGAACTTCTTTCTAATACCGCTCTACTACTTACCCTCTAGCTTTAGGCTTTTAAGCGTGCTCTTTTATTTCTTATTAGGACTAAGACATATCTAGTTAAGTTAGATATAGCAAGACTTACTTTATTATTATCTAGAGTGTTATTATTATTGCGGGACGCGTTCTAAACATATTCTAAACACGTTTTAATTAGCAAATATGTATAACGCTAGCGTAAGACTTACTTTCTCCCCTCTAAAGCTTTTTAAGGTACCTTTGCTTAAGCCTATTAGGAGTTCTATAGTTATAGCGTATTCTAAACTTACTCTAGGCTTTAAACTCTTTTATATCCTGCAGATCTATCTAGTATACACTACACGATGTTACTTATACAATTCTAACAGGTTAAGAATAGGTTATAAACTTACTTCTAAGTAGCCTTAAGAATACTTACATGCTTACTAGTTTTATATCCTTTCTAGCCTGCTTGCTTAGCTATATTTAAATAAGATTCTAGTTTTTCCTATACCTCTTTTAACATTTCACTATAGCATTGCACAATCCTAGCAGCAATTACTAGGTTTTTCTTATAGATTACCTAGTTTTAGGCATCTTTAGAGGGTTCGTGTTCTAATTATATAAGAATAAGTTAGGAACACGTTTAGAACAGGTTTAGAATATATTTACTTACGTAAGAGGAGGTTAGCAAGCTAAAAGTATTCCTCTACTATTAATGCCTATAGTAATTCACTTAGACGTAAAGAGGTAGTATTATCTAGCTCTCTTTTACATACTTTGTAAATACTTCTTTGTAGATATACTTAACAAAATCTTATACAAGATTAAAGTTGCTAGCGCTAGTTACGCTTATAGGGATTAATTAACTAGAGATAGCGCCTAAGTCCTAGAAACAAGTTAGAAACACGTTACAAACATATTACAGTGCGCCGTGAAACTTGCCTATTATCTACTTGTTACACATATTAATAGTAGTCCTATAGAATCCCTGTAAGTAAATATGCCTCTATAACACTTATCTTTTTATAAGTGCTTTACACTTCTAAAAGAAGTTAGTAATAGTAACTTAATATATCTTAGTTATATCCTTATCTATAATAATTTAGCTAAGTGTAATAACTGTAATGTGTTAGAAACGTGTTACAAACCTATTCTTAATGCGTACGCTTCTTTTCCTGCAGGTAGAAGATTACTATTAGAATCTCTACCTATGCCCTATACAACCTCTTATATAACATATCCATCTAGAACGTGTCTTAATCTAATAGAATTAATGCCTACTCTTTAAAAAGGCAAATAATTAAGTTACCTAAGCTTAATATAAAGATTTGCTGTATATACGCCTGTAGTAACGTGTTAACAACGTGTTCCAAACCTGTTCTCTCACACCACGTATAGTTTTAGGATCCTAATGCTTTATCCTCCACTTATAGTGTACTCCTCTAAGGCTACTCTTAAATAGGAACTATAGAAGCTTTTCACGCTTTATAATACGCGAGATTTTATCTTTATTTGCAAAGCTAATATACATTTCTTTAATAGAATAGAAACCTTTAAGTTAGAGATAGGTTTAGAGCTAGGTTAAGTTTAGGAACTAGGCTATAACAAGTTAGGAACACGTTTATAACAGGTTGCAAATAACTTACATTACGTAAGCTACAGAGTAAGCATAGGCCACAACACCTTTACTACTTCCTTAATATTACTATTAGATAGTGTTAAGGAAGGAGGAGGTATATATGTATGTATACTAAAAGAAATAATAGCAAAAAAAGGTATTGCTACTATATCTATTAGTATAATTACTTAGAAGGTAACTTTACATAGGATTTTAAATAGAGATCCTTGCCCTTATAGATAATTAACGCCTAGAATATGTTAGGAACGTGTTAGGAATAGGTTGCAATATGCCTACCACACTTCTTTATCTAGCTTAACTGTGGCTTAACTATAGAATATAAAGCAGGACTACTAGAAAGATTTAATATCTCCCTAGTTAGAAGACCTTATAGATATGTAGAGTCTACCTCTAGTAGTACCTAACTAAAATAATGTTTTTTCCTAGTAGCAGATATTAGGCTATAGTTCTAATAGCTAATATATAGTTAAGCCTGTTCCACAATTTGCTAACTTATTATTAACACGTTTTAAATATATTTAAGTTTTGCTCCCTACCTAATTTACTACAGTCCTTATTACAGGATAATAAGACACCTAGTAGTCCTTATAAATCCTTAAAGAGAAGCGCTTAATAAGGCTATAATAATAGCTTCTTGTTCGTAGTTCTCTTTGTAGAATTTTCTTAGGTACTGTACTTTTTAAGGTTTAGATCTAATTATATAATATATTATTAACAACGTAATAAGAACACGTTTGTAACGTGTTCTTAAGATACTTACACACTTTTACCCTAGAGCATTAGTATTTATACTAGCTTGCTAGCTAGCTATTAAAGAATAGTAAAGTTGTAGGCCTGTTAAGATAGATAGACTAGCAGGAGTATTGTACCTGCTAGAATTAGAACAATTTAAGAACGTGTTCTTAACGTGTTACCTGTGTAGCCTATATAAGCACCTCTTCTCTTATTAGGTAAGAGCTATCTTTATATTGCTAAACTAGTATTATATACCTATACCCTTAGCTATGTAATTAAGGGTATACTAGGAGAATAGCTGTATGCTTAATAATTGCTAGTGTAAGTAGTAGTCCTTAACTGTTACTATAAGTAAGGTATACATTATGCCCCTGTAACGTGTTACTAACCTATTCTAAACTCGTTCTATTTACTTTTACTTACTTCCTTAACGCTACTGCTACTATCCTCCTCTAGCACTTTATACAGTTGCCTAAATTCATCTCTAATATTACTATCTAGTTTAGATACGTTGTCTAGTACTGCTGTACTAAACTCTAGTATAGTATTTAGGAACGCCTACATATTATTAAGAACAGGTTTAGAATATATTTAAAAAAGATAGTAATAAAAACTACGTTTACTTGCTTAAATTACCTTAATTTATACTTAACTATAGGCTAGTTTATATAACCATGAAAATTTGCCGCTGTGACGTGGACTTGAACCTACAGGGATATTCTAACCACTCGGAGTAAAGCCCAAGTCGCCCGACGCTAAACCCATGGTCATATGACATGCCACCACGGTGGACACGGTGCGGCCCCTGTTGGCCAGGCCAGGCACAGACATCGGCTTGGCGTCATATTCGAGGGCTTTCTTTGATTGATAAGCTCGTTGCCCCGCGCCTTGTCGCCGGCCATGATGCCCCTCGAACAAGACACACGGGCACCTGGACGACGAGGACAACTATAGGGCGACCAAGGACAACTATACTCTAGAGTAGAACGACTAGGTAGAACGTATCCACACGGCCCTCTTCACCTACCCAGTCGCCCTATCACTGTCGTCGACGCCTGCAAAACTCGTTGGTCTCCTCTACCGCATTCTGACAAGCTCCAAGGCCAGATTCCGCCGTCCAACTGGCCGGACCAATTGCCACCAAGGGCCGCCCAGATCAGAGAGACGAGAGCCAGGTGCCCTTACTCTACAATACAATATACACCCGTAGACTTGTATGTACTATCATGCACCTGGTCCGTTGCCCGTTGCCCGTTGCCCGGAGCCCGTAGCCCCCCAGCCCCGTTGCCCGTAGCCCTCAAACCAAGTCAATCTGGCTGGAACCACACACAGCGGGCAACACCGTCCCTCCACCACCACCATCCACTCTCTTGCATTTTTTTCTCCGAAACCGCTGAACCACCTGTGAACACCCTCGCCTTACCACTGGCCGCTGACTTGTGAGTTTTGCGCCCGCCATAGAGGCACCCCACCCCGCCGCCACCGCCCTCGTCCGACAGCCACCCCTCCCGTGTCTGGTCGGCTGTTCTCCGCCCACATCCGCTGTGCGAGATAGACCTTTTTGCCGTCGTCGGTGCGTCATCTACAGTGACACGCGGCCGAGCGCAAGGCACCCGCTGCTCCACCTCGCCAGATCGCTGTCAACCGTACGTCACAGTGCCTACACAGTATTGTAGTGTGCGAACAACAGCCCTCCACTACCAAGACGCTGATATTCCACCTTCGCCGCATCAGTACCCAAGTCCCTCAAGACTGCCACTCGCCAACCCTACCCGAACCCTGACCGCCCGATCCAACACCCACCCACTGTCCCACTCACCCTCTCACCCACTCATCCACCCACCCCCACGCCCGACACCGCTGACCCCTCCCCTCTCACCACCGACTTGGGCACCCACCCCGCATCCCGCCCACACCCAGACTCTGCAATGGCAGGCACCGCCAACGACTTCCAGAACGGGGCGCCCTTCTACCTCGACTCGTCGCAACAAGACTTGCTGCTCGCCGCGCTGGCCTCCAATACCAACAACCAGAACACAAACGACATGTTCGCAACAGGCCTCGATGATTCCAAACCGCCCCATGGCTCATCACAGTTCCAGTTTCCAGTCGACACGCTGGACCCCGCCTACTTCACCTCTCGAGAACAGTCCACATCCGCCCATGCTTTCAGCAACGGCAGCCTCGACGATACTCCTTTCGTAGATTACCTCGACGGCGAAAACACATTTGATTTCGACGGAGCAGACAGCAATGGCATCATGATTGGCGCACTGCCTGGCGATACGCCAGCTGAATCCAACGACAAGCGCAAGAGTCCAGACGATGACGACGAAGACGGTGAGGAAGGGGGCGGCAAGCGTCGTGAAGGCGAAGACAAGCAAGCAAAGAAACCTGGCCGCAAGCCACTGACATCAGAGCCAACAACAGTAGGTGGTTCCCAGCGGTATGCCCAGTGTCTTCTACTAACCTGCCACTAGAAGCGCAAAGCTCAGAACAGGGCAGCGCAACGAGCATTTCGAGAGCGCAAGGAGAAGCACCTAAAGGACCTCGAGACCAAGGTCAACGAACTCGAAAAGGCTTCAGACGCCACCAACCATGAGAACGGTCTGCTGCGTGCCCAGGTTCAGCGGCTGCAGATGGAGCTTCGCGAATACCGAAAGCGTCTGTCTCTCAACAGCACCGGACTGAACCGCACACCACCGCTAGCTTCAGGCTTCAGTTCTCATCTGAGTAATAGCGCCGGTAACAATAGCAACTTTTCCTTTGATTTCCCACGATTTGGCGGCCTTCCCGCCGCCCAATTACTGGATAACAATTCCCTATCCAACTCAAAAAATGGCTCGATTGCGTCCAGCGCATCTGGCCGACACAACAGCACTGGACCGAGCAGCCCGGCCAACAACACCAATGGATCGACCGCTAACTGTCCAAACGCACCAAATACGGGTCAAACGACGACCGGTGTACAGCGTTCTAACAGTCTGAATGGATTCTGGGGAGCCAACAAGCCAGCATCTTCTACCAGTGCTACTCCTGCGCGTAGCAGTACTGACAGCTCTGCGCATTCACAGTCCTCTCGTGTCTTCCAATTCAACAGTGGCTCGTCAACCCATTCTGGCTCGCCTTCAAATGCGTCCACATCGCCTACCAACCACGACTCTTCATGTGGAACTTCACCTGAACCAAGCCATACTTCGCCGAACCAGCAAGCGGACACAGGAGCAGATGGTTATGTCTGTCACAGCAACCAAGAAGGTGAGCTCTCCTTCTGCGAAAAGCTCAATATGGCCTGTGGCAACACTCGTAATCCCGTGCCACGTGCCATGTCCCTATCTGACGACAAATCTTCTCCTGCAGTTTTGTCCGCGTCCACCAAGTCGCCCACCCCGCCTGTCACCAGCATTGACTACTTTGCCAATCAGAATGGCGGCCAATTTGAGCCGACTCTTTTTGGCGAATATCGCGATACCCAGACTGCGATTGTGGGTGATGGCGATTTCACCGGTGGCTTCTTCAACGATGCCTTCCTCAATGTCGACTATGGTAGCCCATTCCAGTTTGCCGATACACCAGCAACGCAAAAGACGAATCTAGTGGAAGAGTCGGAGCGGGCTCGAGAGGGCGAGGATGAGGTGGTACCCGGAGACGACATGAGCGCCATGCTCAACTGCCACAAGATTTGGTGCGTATATGCCGCTATACAATTTGCGAACATCGCACTAATAAGGTCCAGGGATAAACTGTCGAGTCGCCCAGACTTCAAAGACGGCACCATTGACATTGACAATCTTTGCTCCGAGCTCCGCGCCAAAGCCCGCTGTTCGGAAAGCGGCGTAGTGGTGGATCACAAGGACGTCGAAGCCGCGCTCAAACGCCTGCCCAAGGAAAGCAGTTTCGCTTAACTTTCTTTTGCAACCCACAAAAACATATTGTTGTGCATGGGACAGCGGTGACTCTTTCAACGGCGCAGTGGATCGAAACTCATGAACTTGGTTTTGTCATCACACGCCGCTCCTTTTCTTGCTATTTCTTTTTCTTTCTCGTCTCCTTCTCTTGTCTTTCCCCACTTGTCTGAGATGAGCCGGAAACCCCGGAAATACCACTCGCTGAGCCAGGATTTTTTTCTATTTTTTTGGCTTTTGCTGCAAGACAAAAGGCACGGCGCGAAGATATCACGATGAAATAGATGAGGTGGGCAGTGCAGGTTTGACGAATGATGTGGTTCAAATGAGGTGCGGAAAGGCTGGAAAGGTGCGGTTTGGAGGTTGTGGTTGTGGTTGTTATAGTAGTAGGAGTTGTTGTTGTCGTTGTTGTCATGGTTGTAGTAGTAGTACAAGCAATTGGCGTTTCTTCTTCGCCTTTTTTTGTTTCTGGTTGTTTGTGTTCACCGTGAATGTGAAGTTTGCGGTTTGAAAGAGCAGTGGTTTTAATGGCAATTGACAGGTGGTTTGAATTCCGCACCCGGACGAACTTGCTGCGCTAGATGCATGGTATGGGGTGTGGGGAGTAGGGTGGGGGTTTGTGTGGATGTGGATGCGAATCTGGATGTGGAAGATGAGAGATTATAGTTGGCTGGGTGGTATGGTATGGTTTTGTATGATGTAATTGATGCATACAGGGTAAGAGCATGGTAATCTCGGGGTTAGTTCTGGTTCTGGTCTTTGCTCTCGCGCTCGCATTGTCTAGTACACATCTCCCCCATGCCCTTACCAGGAGTAAGAAGTAAGAGGTGAGAAGTAAAGACCGAAGAGTGCTAGGTATGGTAGTTCAGTTATAATATTTCAGAAATACTGTGCCGCTGTCTGTGTTTATCGTGTCTGTTAGAGAAGCGGGAAAGACATGGGCGGGTTATTTGGCTTGGCGTTTAGTTTGATTGTCTGTGAGTGGGGGCTTGGAAGAGGAGGGGGTGGGGAGGGAGAAGAGGGAAGGGGGGAGAAACGAAGGGACTTTGTGGTGTTGAACTTACGAGTGAATCTCATGAGAGGTAGGATCACGCTTTTTGGAAAATGTAATCCCGAGGTGAGTCTGATTGTGTTTGTACGTAGCTGAAGTAGTAGCTTTTTCAAAGACAGACACGCGCACGCACGCAGCCATTCTTGTGTTTTTATTGATGTTTGGATGAATTAGGGGCGTTTTTGGTGGGAAGAGGGAAGGCGGGTTGTGGGAGAGAATATGGAGATGGTCTAGATAAGTATGCAAGTTGGGATCTTATGACTCGCCCCACACATCAGGCCGTGCAGTATACAAGGACCAAGAAGACTCCAAATTATACTTGCATGAATACAAATGCGAGACAAATTAGCTATCATTTTCTTCTTCTGCAGTTTTGCGGTGGGGACAGACGCACGCACATAGCCCAGTCTTACACATGCTTGTAGGCAGTGTCGTTTATTTTAAAGTAGGAGAATTAAAGGATGACATTTTTATCTGTTCTTGGAATCAGTCAGATTAACGCATAGGAACCGATCCAAAGATTCTTATGAGATCAAAAAAGCGCCAAAACTCATATTTCTTGCACACAATCTGTTGATGGGGTCATGGGCTTTGCCGCATGTTGGTTTGAAAACCACACATGCACGCATTTTGCCTCTTGATCAGATGTTTTTGAAAAGTGGAATGGATGTGCTGGAGACATAGAAATGGCGGTGCAAAGATCCCAGCAGAGTTTTTTAGGCACTTGCAAACACAATTCTCAAAGACATGTCATGCTCTCTTTATAAGCTTTTGAGGGTTATAGCATAGGTACATATCTATCCTTGAACAAGGGCGAAAAACAAAGTCATGAAGCACATAGTACGTTGTTTGAGAAACCACTCATACATGCATGCAAATGCTATCCAGCCCGTAGTACTTTAGGAGATTGGGGTATTATATAGTTTTGAAGCAGGTGTTTGTGTGTGGAATAGCGAGGGGCGTTTTGTATACCCACAAGTCAGATCCTCACATATTGTTCGCATTGTCTGTTTTTAATAGACGTGACAGTATCTGCATTTCCGCCTGCACAAAGGTCGAGGTGCAGGATTGTGGTGAGCCAATGAAGGGATTTTCCAGAAACAGGCCCACATGCTACCGGAAGACTGGTGCTTGAAATTTTAGCAAACTAGGAGATTTTGTAAGTGTAAAGGAAGTTAATTTTTTTTAAAGGGCAGAGTACAGTGAGGGTTATATATTCGCCCATAAATTGTTTCCTGCAAGCATCATCCATGAATTTTTCGCATTCCAAAAGTAGGAGCATTCTGTAGTGTTTGAAAGAAATATAGCACTGATGTGAACATGGAAAGTGTTGCTTTAGGATTCAAACACACGCATGCGATTTTAAGAATACTGCATTTACAAGAAGAGTGCGTGGTTGACTTGTGGTGTAAAGGCAAGACAAGAGCAGCGATGGATAATTATTACTCTATATCCGGTCTAGGGAACATAACAGTTGCGTCGCAACATGTACTCGTGCATCCAGTCTTGATGCTCATGTTGACTCTGTCAAGCAGTTCAAAACGTGAGAGTATTGTAGATAGTTTTTCTAAATCGGACAAGACATGGCCGAAATGCAGTGGGCTTTTTTTAAGCGGAGAACAATGTTTCCACATTCTGTCTTTTGTTTGCCGCTAGAAATGGCACATTTGTTCAACTGCAGGAATATTAAAGAGAGAACAGAGATGGTTAGGAGTTGGGTATATATACTCGCTCGAAATAACGCGTAGGGCAGCATGGGCCATGCATACTACGCTAGATAGCAACGCTTCAAAATATGGCGGGTAGGGCGGAGATACTCATGGTGTTGACTGCGTTGCTCTTCCATCCATCATAGACAAGTACCCGATATTCGAAACGAACCAGACAGGCGTGTCCTCCCAGAACGATTAATCAGTTCGGTAGACGCGAGGGATTTTGCAAGCGGCAAGCGAGGAGGACCACAGGACATCATCCTTCATATCCATATGCGTCGGCAGTAGCTTTGTGACGAGTATAGCAAGACTCTTGATCGTTGCAAAATCGCAAAGTCTGGATCGAGAAAATGTGGCAGTTCACTCATCCATTTTTAACAGCGATAATAACGTTTTTGACAGTTCCCTGAGTTATGGGTAGATTGGTCTTCATCTTTGGTTAATGACCCAGACGTTTTCGTATATTGTAGGAGTGTACGTGACGAGGTCAGAGGGGCTTTTATATGTTGTCCTCAAAATCTCACATCTAGCTCCATTAAGTGCGATGACAATGACATGTAGCAGTGTTTGACACTTCCAGATCAGAACCCGCAGATCATGAACTTGATCAGCTTCACATTTAATTCCACTTTATTCCGATTTCGTTTTAAGCTAGATAGATGTCTGAGTGCGTCGTAATGTTGTGAGAGAAGTACTCCGAGGCTGTTTTATGTTCCATGCACTCAAATATCATGTGTATTTTATTTCTGGGCAAGGATAACAAGGCCCATGACCATGAGTTCGAGGTTTCTGAACAGTCACCACATTCTGTTGATTGTATAATTTCGAAACCAGTGACTTGCTCATCTATCTCTCCCAACAATATTTCAGTGTTTTCAGAGGTACAAGTGATGTCGCGATGAGGAAGAAGAGCGTTTGAAAGTGGGTAATGATATATACTTGGATCTCATCCTGTCTTCGAGCATTTTACGCATGCCATTTTCTATGAAAGAAGGCTAACACATATGATGGGCACTCCTGAAGCTTTGGGGGCGATATGCTACTCTTGAAACGAAGTTACAGGTCGCCTTCATACATGCACATTCTTAGACGATGAAAGGATTTGCCCTGTCGCTCTCACATTGGTCAGACCTTGACATAGTCAGAAAATGCAATGAGTACACATAGGGTGCTCAAATTTTGGATGCCATATTTAATATACCAGCTGATTTTTAAGTCAGCTTCCTGGATAACCTTCTATCAATGGCAAATCTATGGTGATAGCATTCTTTTCGAAATACTTAAAATTCAAGCTACGCGGCTATTCTTTCATTAAGAATATGAACCACGAAAATAAGTCGCTAAATCGGTTTTATGTCTTCAATGAATTGATTATCTGATACGTCATAGCTGGAGTAATTTTCTGTTCCAGTAAACGAAAACAGCAATGTTGTTTCATAATGAACATGATCATGCCTTCACGAGTATCTACATAATTCAAAGTAAGCATCATTAGGGTCTTCTAAACTTCGGAAGCTGGAGAGACATGGATCTGCTTGCGCCTCAATTTGTATAGATCTACGTGTTATGATTGAACTACTGTTCACTTCTTGATGATGAAAGAGCTCAATGCACAGAGCGCATACACGTCATATTTGCTACGTTTTTTTCAGGCTTGACGTCTAAGAAGTGTGTAATAGAGAAAGAGAAAGATAGTAGAGAGTGAGACTTTTTTTATGAGTAATCTATTGTTACGTCTACTAGTTTTTGTTATCTCTAATATCATTGCCCTGAGGGATCGACTCTTACTTTCACTTTCACTTCCACCCTACTCCACCGCCATCTCCAGCTTCACCTTACACCTCCGCACCCATGACATCGCAAACGCTGGATGCGTCACTTTCACTTAAACAGAACGACAGTTCAACATGCAAGCTCGCCGTCTTCATTTGCACCACTGCACTATTACCTTCTCACAACACAATCTCACTTGTACACGACCCACCATCTCCAGCCTATTCTCACTACTCAAGATGACGCCCGCCCCCAACAACCGCTTTTTTGCTCCCACAAATCGTGCCTCCCGTACAAACTCCACCGCACACTCCCTCATTTCTGAATCCGCCTTCTCAGCATCTCCCTACGTCACACCACGCGCCTCACCCACAACCACACCACATACCAACCCCCCACCTCGCTCACGTACCAGCGCCGCCGACCTCTTCGATAACCCACCCGAGGCCAAACGTACGGTCTTCAAACTCCCCGGCTACTGGACCTTGCAACCCACTGTGCCAACCCCATTTGCAGGCACGCTTGAGGCAAGTCTAGACGCGATCCAAGAGTGGGCAAAGCTGTGGGTTGGAGGGCATGGGGTGCAGCGAATTGTTAATACGATGTTGAAAGAGGTGGACACAAAAACGAATTGGTGTAATCTCATACGCTTGCTTTTTCGGCATCGGCCGGTCTGTTCCGTTGAGCCTCGTTTGTCGACGGGCGGCTCTAGAGACGATATCGCTGATGAATTGAGTATGCAGACTGGGCATATTTTGACAGAGGAGTTATTGTTCCTGGTGACGCGGACCTTGCTTCCCGAGCAGATCGCTGAGAACCGAGCAGTGATGGCGCGATTATATGATCGGAAGAAACATCTTGCTATACGATTGGTGTTGCGGTATGATATGCTGCTTGCGTGGAAGATGCATGGGATCGGACATGGGAAGGATCATAAGAGGTATCCGGTCGTTGTTAATTCCGTTGCTCCTCCTCTTCCTCCTCCTTCTGCCGTTGATGCGACTCCAGCCCCAGCCCCAGAGCCGGAGCCGGAGCCGGAGCCAGATATACCTGGGAGCGTGCCAGTGGTAAATGAGAATTGTAGGAACGACATAGGGATCCTGGAAGCACCAGCAACAGCCTACCGTCGGCCCCTGATGCCAAACGTCTGGCCAACGCTCTTGCTATTTCCGCCAACCCACCCGAATGGCTTCTCGACACACGGCGTCCGTGACCGTATGCGTCACCATGTCACAGAGCTGGACGGTATACTCATGTACACAGACGAAGAGGTCTCTGCGTGGAGCGACGGACTGTTGATCGCAAGGACAGCGAGTGCGCTGTTGCTGTGGCAGTGGCTGAGAGGAAACAATGAGATCTTGGGGGACATGGAAGTGGACGCCTGGGAAGATCTTGATGGGAGGGCTGATGATTGTGACTGGATTGCTGATTGAACTGGGAGGTTTCTGAGAGGTTGGCAAGGAGCGCGTCGAGGGGAAATACGAATGGAGACTGAGCACAGTGAGAAACAAGAAAGGAGCCACTGGGGATAACATGAAGAATCATTGATATTCATTTCGCGTTCAGCGCGGATCTGATTGCCATAAGAGGGCTAGGACTGTAGAGGGGGAATGTTTACAAAGCACCGTGCGAATGCACGCTGCTGTTCTTGCTCCATCGGCGGAACGTCTTACCCTTCCACCAGAACAAAATGCCAAAAAGACACCAAAGCGTGATAAGCGCTGCGTTCGTCATAATTGGTGAGATGAACCTGAGCCTTTGTTAGCATGTCTCCAATACTGAGTAATTGCACCAGGTCGGACTTACCCATCGCTAATAGTCCATGGCGTGATGAACTTGCCCAATCCATATCCCCAAAGGTTCTTGTTCACTGTAACTGCCACCATCAAGCTTCCCGCAACAGGTTTGTACGAATCGATTGCGTAAGTGCTCACGATACCCGGAAGCGCAGCAACCTGGATGCCTGCGCAGGTATATCCAATAATGACAATGACTTCCCAGCGCCACTTCCGCTCGTAGCCGAGAGAGACAACGATGTTGCCGATCAACATGATGATGACATACGGAATCATGGCTGGCAAACGCATCTCTGGCTCACGGATACCGTTATTCCGCCTCGTGGACCGCGCGGAGACCCAATCAGACAATGGACCAGCGGTGAACAGACCAATAAAGGCTCCGACCATGACAGCAAAGTTTGTGAACCCAACGACCATAGGCTTCATGTTGTAGGGAGGTGCAGCCAGGACTTGGGATTGCGTGAGGTTGAGGACGAGGAAGGAAGAGCAACTCCAACTGGCGACAAAGGAAGCGAATTCGATAATGGGAAAGGCAAAAAGCTTCCATGGGAGCCAAAGGTCCAAGGCCATAGATTTGAAGGGACTTGCGTTGGGCTGGAGGAGCTTCCACTGCCACTTTGCAGGCTTACCGCGGCCAAGGTAAGGGTCCCGGGCTGCTGTTTCGGTGTTTTCGATATTTGTGGTTTCGGGAAGGACAGATTGGGCGGTTGCGACGTGTTGGATACGGTTAGGATCAGTCTTTTCGGCGGACGTGGAATCATTGTCAGAGTGTGCTGGAGATGAAATCTTTTCGCTGGAGGTCTGCTCTGCGCTGACGGGAAGGGCGCGCTGGAATCGTGTTTCGGGGAACATGAAAACGACCATGAGGAATGACAGGGCCAGAATGGCGGTGTTGAGCCACCAGAAACTCCGCCAGCCAACTGTTCCAGTCATAGATCCAGATACGATGGGGCCTACCATGAGGGAGCCCATATATACAACCCAGTACAATGTGTTCCACTTTCCACGGTCGTGGAGGAAGAAAATGTCGGCGATGACTTCGGGCATGATGGTCTCTGAGGGACCCGCACCAATTCCGTTGACGATGCATGCACCCATGAAGGAGCCATATGTGTTAGATTTCGCACGCCAGATTGAGGTACCGATGTTAATCAGCTGAGAGGCAAGATAGACCGGACGGCGACCAAACGAAGTGCTGATCGGAGCCCTGTGAAACTTTATCAGAAACAATCCGAGGTGGCAGACAATTTTGACTCACCAGATGAAGTTACTGAATCCGAGCACCAAGATACAAACACCAGTGAACTGGACTGCACCAGCCAAATCCGTATCGAATGCCTCAATAAGCGCAGGGAACATGGGCGCTAGGGCCAATGGTCCGAACCCTTGGGTAAAGGTAACCATGGCTGCTGCGGAGATACATGCGATTTTCCACCATGCGGACCAGTTCAGGGGGTCATTTGGGTCGTCGGTGGGCTGTGGTACCAGCACCTGGCGATGTGCTCCTTTCACAAAGTGATGCTCCCCAACATCTGTCATGACCTCTGTACCAGGCTGATTGATGTTAAAACCCGTCACATCCAGGGCAAGTAAGCATGGTGATTTCTTACAAGAATCTCCGTGTGAAGTTCAGCCTCCAGCTGCCGCCGCTCCTGCAACGCGTTAGCATAGTTATGGAATTTCAATGTCTCTGAGGGAGAGGATAGGTACATTTTCGTCGATGTTGTTGACCTTCATTGTGTGAAATAGGATTTCACTCTGCTCAAGTCTTGTCGTGTTCGACTTCAGTCCCGAAGCATGCCCCGGCTACTTGTACACTTTCGTGGGCTCATCTGCCTCGGGTAATAGCGTGAAAACTCGTGACTTGGACTCAACCCTTCTTTTCGGTAAATACCCCAGATTCTCCAGACCAACTGTCTGTGGGCTGTGGAGGCGGCTCCAGATACCTCCTTGTCCTAGTCTCGGCGACATGGCACCGTGACGAATCAAACACGTCAGAATTCTTACGGTACTCTTTGACGGCAATTGCTCTGGACGTCCTAAAGTCCATACAAGCTCCTGCTACTGCGACCAGAACTGGAATCCAAAAGCTTAGCTATTGCACGGAAGCGTCTTCATGGACATCCGCGAGGTGTCCTGTACTTTTAGTCATCATCTCATTATCTCAATAGCAAGGATACTCCGCCTCATCTCCACGTGCGTGAATCGTCGCACCGATCTAACGTCTTTGTAGCCGCAAGCCATTCTCGTAATGGAAGACGCGGTGCAAATGAGCCAATCGCATCACTGACACAACTTGACACTTCTCCGTCCCCCAGGTTACTGCCCAGCAATGCGATTCATACCCCATTGTGTTCTATCGGCCAAATTATGCGCACTTGGCCATAGCCTGTACTTGGTTTTCAGTTCGGAAGGCCCAAACGGCAGATTCACAGCGAAAGGCTTTCGGGCCTTATCGCAGGCTGTGTAGTTACTCTGGCGCCGCCGGTGTTTTGGACGAATACTACAAGCGGAGAATGCGAAGCCATCATGAATGATCAGAAGATGCCCCAACTATAGTAGGATATGGAATGGATGTGAGTGGGTGTGCAACTGCCGACTTGGACTAACAACATGTAGTCAGCAAGTTTGATGCGGGGAGGCGGAGAGGGGCCGGGGGTTTCAAGGGCTGATCAACTCCAGATCCTGGGGATCGTGGAAACATCATTTGTCGCAACCATAGCAGCCTCAAATATTGTACACATGCGTGCACAGGTACTAGAGACAGTACATAACTTTGACATTTCGCGGCATAGAGCAAGGGCACATGAAGCTTCAAAGATCGTGCAATATTGGCCGGAGAGCTTTCGCCATCATAGTATAACTAAGCGCATACCGGTAGGCCAAGAAGTTTGTAGCGAGTGCCCATCATAATGAAAACGACCTCGGAAACACAGGTTTAGTATCTTAGTCCTGAACGATGTTGACGAAGCACCCGTGCAACACATATCCCTTACATGTCGTCGTGCTGCATCCAGACTCGGAGCGCGTTCAAATACTGTGTTGCGCCTGCACTGACAAGTGTATCAATTTCCCGAACATGCAGGTTCTCTGGGGGGAGGGGGCGAAGCCGTCAACGCGAACGAAGAGGAGGACAAGGAAGAAAAAAGGACAAATGACGCTACAAACTGCGCGAGTAAGCTGAAGGCCTGGCCATCAGTAAGGTGGCGCCACCAACCAACCGGATTCGGCAAAGGAGATATATTCGGCTGCTTTCAGGATGGCATGTGTGGGCACCCACGTAATCCAATTGCGAGAACCCACTGAACGCGTTGCTTAAAAGAGAACTGATTCTCCAAGGGAACTTTATGTAGGTCACGGTCTGTTCAAACATCAGTCTCGCTTTTTGGCGCTGACGAGAGCGAAGACCCCGAAGAAAATGATGCCGTTGCAGGAGCCTCGCCTTTCTGCCTCTTCGCAATTCCCAAGCGCGTTTGCTTCCTAGGCGACATTTCCAACATCTCCAGTAACCCGAGCAGCCTATTCGATGAAGCTTCCATTAGTTCTTTTGCTTGCATTTCTTCCTCTGCATTGCCCTTTTTACCCTTGCCAGTACCATATACACTTTCCCTTGCTTTGATGCCATCTTCCATGGCTTTGCGTAGCTTCTTGGTGGGTGTGAGGGTGTCGCAGTCCATCGTATAGATGAATATCTGCTCAAGTATGAGCGATATCTTTGTATTGGCTGCAAAACTTTGTGTGCTTGCTTTGAAGAGCAGTAGCTTTGTCTCGAGGTGATCTGGTGCAGGCTCGAATCGAAAGTAGTCAGGTACAGAGCCACTGACAAGCGGCAGGAGAAGGTTGGCAAGAAAGGCAACTTTGACGCGACCTGGAACGGTCATGGTTGTTATCAGGATGTAGAACATGAAGATGGGAAGCTGAATGACGTCTTCTAGGATGTTGTCGAAGAAGTCGCTGAGGGTGGTGAATTGTGCTGGTAGTGCTAGAGCAACTTGCGCAAGCTATTTCTTCTCAGCAAACGTTCTCGTAGTGAATCCCCTATACTCACCAGAGTGATGAGGCGTTGGCGCAACTCAATCGCGTCTTGTCCACCAAGTCGCTCGCATGCGTCAACGACATTGCGGATGCTCTCGCCATATGCACTTGTATTTGACATTAGCAACTCATCTTCGTAGTCAGGTGCCTCCAGTATATCCTGCATCTCGTCATCGCTGGCGTAATCGCCAATGTCGCCGGTTTCGAAGTCAATCTTGCCAACTGGGCCATCCTTTTGCGCTTTTTGTCTCACCGCGTATGTCTCCTGTTGCCAGATTTCCGGATAGTCCTTTTGGGACTCTGGGGATGCTGTCGCGAGTATGGCCTTGACGATTCTACGCCTTGTACTGCGATTCACAGCCTCCGTGTCCCCTACAATGTAACTCCACACAAGACACTTTTGTGCGGTAGCTACAGGATCCGCGGCATCCGTACTCTCCTTGATACAAGCCTCCCAGTCAGCCTCGAGGAAATCGAGCATAATGCCCATCCATATTTTCCAGCGATCCCATCGTTTCTTGTGGGTTATCGAACAGTTGAAAGCCCAGCCTGTGATGTGCCAGAAATCCTCCGCATTGCGCCATAGACTCTTCTCGTTTGCAGATGGGCCAGCTAGTTGCTCAATATCGCCACCAGGTTCTCCAGGGGAAAGGCTGTTGGCCTCGCTTCTGAATCCTGGCCCTCGTCTGCGTCTGCGCTCTTCAGGAAATTTGAAAGCTTGTCGTATTGTTGGATATACAGGATCGTCGATGGTTGTTTGGACGCACTGGAGATATCGTAATGCGGCATCTGCCCCGTTTCGCGCATCTGAAGACAGTGCTTGAGTAGTGTAGAGAGGGTCGACGACGACTGATGAAGCGAAGGCTATATATGCAGGAGGCGCAAGGAAGCCAATATAAGGTTGTGCTGGTGTGGAGATGGAGGTGCCCGCGGCGAGAAGGCTATAGAGAAACTCGAAGCCACTGGCAACTGCATCAGCGTAAGCTCAGTAACGCAGCAACTAGAGACCAATTACCCTTGCCACCCTCCAAATAGGCTTTGGCATGGTTGGCCAGCTCATATGACGCCGGTTTGGTCGGCCGCCGTTGCGACAATCTTGGTCGCGCGCCTATCGCCTCAAGAGCAGCGGATGGTGAAGACTGGCCACCATAGCTTGAGGATGATCTCGGCAATTTAGAGGTTGTGGTGGACTCTGCCATGTTGTCGCTTTTTTGATGTCAAGAAAGTGGGGTACCTGTACAGTACCGGTATCCTTCAAGACGCGGTGTCACATGTGCAACACGTCGCGTGTGCACGTGCGCAGTGGGTATACTGTAGGTTTCTTTTCTCTTAACATTTCCACTTCCACTCTTACCTCCACTGCTAAGACATAGGACTTCATGTAACTGTAGTTCATGCTATTCTTATATTACATCTACCCATCATCGACGCTTTATCACAATGTCTTGTACATGATGACCAAGTCGTCGAGTCTACTAAGCAAAGCCATTGCCCTAAACAAGGCCCACAGATGTCCTATGGCCATCATTCCTCATAGTCCCTCTCCATCAAAACTCTTCTTGTCTCTCTCTTGATACAAATCGAGCGAATTACCGGAAGATATACAGCAATGGTTGCGAGGTTGAGCTCGAGCGTGGCTACAATAATCATCTCACCATTGCCAGTGAATGTGACGGAAAGCGAACAAGGGTGGAAAGATGGAAAGTTATTACACCGCCAAATGAGTATATTGGTGGCTATTCTGCGACGGATACGCATTTTCAGCTTCCAAAATGATAATATGGGAAGACGAAGATGTCCAACAATGTGGTCTAGACATACTATTAGCTGGTGTCTATAACGTGAGCGGTCACACTCAGACAGGTTAGGATAAACCCACCCGCTTTGACGACCTCGCCATCAAGAGCGAAGTAGTTGCACCGTTTTGGTTCTTCCCTATGGCACACGTTGGCTGACGCCTGATTTCAATTCTGCCTTCCTTATCCTCCGAACCTGGAGTCAACGCTACCTGCCATATCGCTAGAGCTCCAACAAACGCGGACTGAAGCATACTTGCCAGTGTGACACTTGTGCAATGTTATGAACGACCTACACCAAATAATAGGCTCATATATTCACCCGTTCGCTATCTACAAAGCACATAGACGAAACAGGAAGCTCAGAGCGCACACAATCCAATGCCGAGAATGAGAAAAATTCATGTTATAACGTAAGCTACGACTTATAAGATTGTGTTGATGATCACGGTGATATGTGAAAATCAGGATAGTGCATGTAATTCTGTAAAATCAAGTATATGTGAATGAAGTCATCGTAGATATTCACTCTTTCAATATACTCAGCAACGTAGGATGTTGTCCCCAACGATGGTTTCAAATTGATGCAGGCTGTCAGCGTTATGTTTCATAGAGGTTCTTCAATATTCAAAAGCCCTTGGAATAAATCGATGGACATAGTGATATCTTTTGAATAAGCTTTCATCATTATGTAGGAAACAATGCAACGAGGACATAAGTTCATGACTTCTCAGGCGGGGTATAGTTCAGAACAGCTCTTTATATCTGCAATTTTTGAAATTCCTCATGTTCCTCGTCGCAGTATGGCTCATACATTAATTGAACGATTGTCGGAGTTTTGATTTTGAAGCTGGCGAGGTAAGATTCAGTAAATGCAAAAGTGCAATCACATACGGCGTTGACCGTGTGTAAAGATATGGGCTATCCTACTCACTAATGATCTATCGAGGATCTATTATAGCATATACGCACCTTTTTGGTTGTTGGTGCAGTTGGAGTTGACACCGTGGTCTAGCACCCTAGGTGACGTTAACCCCCCTACCCTATCCTCACCATTTCAAAAACTCAATATACATTCCTTCGTGGCCTGAATGAAACCAGATTTGTTGAAGGAATGAATTCAAGATGATATTTCACCAACCGCATACCCGATTATTCCCGCTAGGGTATCAAACTCCACAGCGTTTGATCTGGCGGGTATGAGGTATTTTATCCTACCGTGGATGTCATGGGTGATCCAGGGATCATCATTGCCAAAAAAAAAAAGGAGTACGAGTCAGCAGGTTTTGGAGATTACAAGAAGCTTACGCGTATGCTGGATCGCTAGTCTCTAGTAATGTATATCTGGTGTTGGGACCTCGCACCCTATGGTAAGATAGCAATATATCGATCATGATTGATTTCCCTACTCTATATCGCCTACTAAATATGTACCATGAGCTAAGGGAGCAACGCGCCTCCCAGTGGAACTGACGGAATACTGTACGCAGCGGAGAGGATCTGGTAAGTTCCGCTACTACAATTAGTTAGTGAAGTACTGGTAGGACAATTACTATGACGCTGGTAGGACGATTCCACTTAATCTCCACACCTCCACCTATCGCGTGCCGTCTTTGCCCAAACATAGTGCGAACTTGAACGGTTCCGGCGCAGTTCACGGCCGCTACAGACCACCCCACTCATCCACGAACTGTGAAAACTGTGGAGATATAACACCAGCCCTAACTAGTGGCACAATTTTGTACTTGCTGTGATGAGCAAAATTTGGCCAGAGAACACAAACGTACTGTAGTGTATTATAGCTTATTATTCGAAAATCTCACCAATCACAATCCGAATTGGTCTATCGGCTAGGATTGCCCGCTTTCACTGATAACCGGGCCGGGCCGGGTTCGACTCCCGGATTCGGAATTGATTGTATTTGCAGTTTTCTGCACTGTCGTGGTGGTTGTCGTGCTGTTGGTGGTGTCGTGCTGTTGGTGGTGTCGTGCTGTTGGTGGTGTCGTGGGTACGGTACAGTTCCTTATGCGCCAAAAGACATTTTTGGCCCCGCCAACATCCCCCACGGCTCCCCATGTCGCTTATTTTGGCTCTTTTTATACGCATGCCTTGCCATTAGGTAAGATATTGCGATGATATCGGGGCTCAAGGATATTTTGAAGCCTTCATGGCGACCTAGGGTTTTTTCACGATATGAATACAAAAAAGGAAGCTGGCAAGGAAGCGAGATAGGAACATCTTGTGGAAAGGCTATTCAAAATGCTCGCACTAAAAATCCATAAAATTTCAGAGTATCTGCAGCTGTGCGCTTCAAGAGCAAGTATGTCGCGATTATTAGTACAAGCTGTGCAGCGAGATGAAGTTCGTCAGACTCGGAATTGGACAACTCTGATAACGAAATTGCACTTTAAAACTCCATACATCCTTGAAGGGACTTGAGTCGAGTTTATGAACTGAGCTTGACTACATGTTTGCTTGTCTGTTGCTGACCCATCAAAATAGGATAGATTACCGGTAGCAAACCTCTGTGACCTCACGCACTCATTGCTACCTTGGCTTTTCGTTCTAGAAAGAAGAAGGATTCGGATTTCGCATGCAGCTCTTGACTGGTGTGTGCATACAAGTGGGCTTACTCTTCTGGGTGACATGAGATTCTTTTAGAGAACGTCATTTTGCAAGCATGGCAGACAGTAATGAGTATTGGAATTCAGTGTTTTATCCGCTTCGTTGTTTCGGTCAATACTCTGTAACGTGTATATCGTTTTCAACGAGTCCGAGTCCAATAATGAAATGTGTCCCCCCATGTCCTTGACTTTATAAAGACTAAGGATATGGTGCTATTATCTGATGAGCCATTGTTTGTTATTATATTAAAGCGGAGAGTGAATTTCCACACTTGGAATGTCACTCCTGGCTGTAGCATACATAGTACCGGTAACAGTGGATTCGCTCCCACCTTAGTGATACCTACCTAGTTGTTGGGTAAAGGTCCACAACCAAGTGTATCCAAAAGGGGCTTCAGGCATTCTTACCAATACTCCGGTATTTCCCTTCAACCCTTGCTAAGCGAATAATCTAGACACATGGCGTGACGGTCTTGAACATCCTTCGCTTCGTGCCTGTAGTCTTGGCAATAGAATGTTGCAGGGCAAGAACCAATTCGCTCAGCCTTGTGATTCAAAGTGCGACCGGGAGAGCGCTTGTGGAATACACCACGAAGCGGATACTATCCACAACCGTCATATTTGCCGCCATGCAGTACCTACGATGGGGATGGTTGCCGCGCAGCGCGCGCAGAATCTGATAAAGGTTGTGCTTCTTGTACCGTGGTGGACATGTGATGCATCCCACGCCCACCAGATGATGGTGTGTGTTCAAAAAACTTTGTGGCTGCCTCAACACAGCTTCCCCTCCACTCACAGTCTTCAATTCAAGCCATCATTCTCACGACTAGTCCATTCACGATACAAATGGCTTTGTCCGAATAAAGTGCGACAATCAGATAAGATTAGATGGCGTCATCTGCCAAGGCTCTACGCGGCACAGTCGGCGCTATTACGTTTGAAGCAGGCGGTGATGCACATACTTACCACCAGCCATGCACTCGCTGATCTCTGCCCAGCTCCAGGGCTCTTTACCGAGGACTAACGCATCGTCACAGTCACCAGCATCGAGGAAGAGTCTAGGAACATGCTCCCAAGAGACGGAGCAACTTCGTGATGGACCTGAAAACGCCTCCAGTTCACCGAGAAGAGCATGGCCACTACCTAGGATTCAACCACCGTGGGCGAAGAAAAAACCACGAGCAACAACACATGCCCGCCCGCAGCCAAAACAGGAGGTGCTGGTACCTCGTCTTGTCTTCGACCGTCTCCACATCTCATGTGGGACTCGACTTGGTGGGCCCTGATGGATCAATGCTTCTCGGAGACGGCCCTGAATTCATGTTGTGCTCGAGGGGAGACCCGCCACCGACAATGCAAGCCAAGCACTTGGCATCACCAATAACAGCGGGGCGGGACTGGGCAAGAACCGGCAGGATTCACAGCGAAGGACGAGATTGGATCTTATCTGATCATCTAGGACTTATCTGATCATCGAGCCGCTGCTAAACCGTTCGGGCACAACACACACCTGGACGGTGGGAGATGATCCCGAGCCACTGGGTCCCAAGAGGTGACAGAATTTTCATGCCTGTTACCACGACGGCCCTACCCTGGCCGGTCTTCGGAATTTGGGCCCTTGATGTATACTTAAGCATGGAAAAGGAACGCTCCTGCGGATCGTTACCCATCTGCACCTCAGTCTGTCACCCTGCCATCCTCGGCACTATTCCGGACTCAGCGTCTCATCATGAGCGAAGCACTCCAAACTGACGCCGTTCGACCGGCGGAAGGGTTTGGTCGTCCTTCCAAGGAGATCGACGTCGAGAAGAGTGGTCTCACTCCTAGGACGGACGCTCGTGATTCCCACAGTGACAGTGATGCGAAGTCTGTCGAATCAGAACAGTTCCAGAATGGCGTGCAACGCGTGCGTGCCATTACTGAAATCTGGACCAAGAAGACACTTGTCTCCATGTTCATCTTGTACGTGTGTATGCAGTGACTGCGAAAAGCTGGGTGCTAACAGTCTGGTAGTCTTTATCTGATCGAATTCGTCGCATTCTTACAAAATTCCATTGATGCTGCGCTTAACCCCTTCATCACATCGAGCTTCGACAGGCATGGTCTGCTCAATGTTGGATCCGTCATGTCTACTGCACTGGCTGGCTGCATTCCTCTCGCAACATCCAAGGTCATTGATGTGTGGGGTCGTGTCGAAGGTTTCTTCGCTATGCTCGTCATTGTGGTCGTTGGCATGCTGTTGAAAGCCGTTTGCAAGAACATGGAAACCTACATAGCTGGTCACGTCTTATACTGGGCTGGCCATATCGGTGTCCTGTACGTCACAGATGTCATGGCTGCCGATATCACAACGTTGAAGAACCGCATGATCATCTTTACCATCAACGGCACTCCCCGCATTGCCAGTACATTTGCTGGTCCAGCCATTGGAGAGCTTTTCTGGGCGAGTCCAAACTGGCGTTGGGCATTTGGTGCCTTCATCATCATCTTCATAGGTTGCAGTCTGCCCGCCATGGGCATCATGGTATACATGTATCGACAGGCCAAGGCTGCTGGCATGATCAACAAGGTCAGATCAAATCGGACAATCCTACAGTCTCTTTGGTACTACTACATTCAGTTTGATTGTAAGTAAAGTACTTCCGCTCCATCATTACCAAGACTAACCGCACATACAGTCACTGGCATTATCTTGGTGATGGCGTCTTTCTGTCTCTTCCTTCTCCCATTTACACTACAGATATATGCCCCCAACGGCTGGAAGACAGACTACATCATTGCCATGATTGTTGTGGGTATTTTGCTTTTCCCCGCATTCGTTTTTTACGAGGCAAAGGTCGCTCCCGTCCAGTTTCTGCCATGGAAATACCTCAAGGACCGCACCATTGTCGGTTCCTGTATGCTCTATGGCATCATGTTCCTGTCCATCTTCATCTGGAACACATACTTCTACTCGTACATCCTGGTCGTACACCGCCAAGAAATCACCCATGCCGGTTACATTGTCAACTCTTTCTCCCTGGCCTCGTCCACCTTCAGCCCCTTGGTCGCGTGGGTCATCAGTTACACCGGTAACTTCAAGTGGACGGCGTACAGCGGAGTCCCCATCGTCATCCTCGGCACCGCCCTGCTCATTCCCTTCCGAACACCCTCCACCAGCCCCGGTGTCCTCGCCTTGAGCCAAGTCATCGTTGGTATCGGCACCGGTGTCTTCGCCACTTGTGCTCAACTTGCCGTCATGGTCCCCGTCACACACCAAGAAATTGCCGCCATCACCGCGCTATGGGGTCTTTTCGGTTCATTCGGCTCATCCATTGGCAGCGCCATCGCCGGCGCCATGTGGAACAACCTGCTCCCGCGCGAACTGTCCCGTCGTCTCCCCGAAGCCAGCAAGGCAAACGCTACCATGATCTTTGGTGACATTGAGACACAAATTGCCTTTTTGGATGGCACACCCGAGCGCGAAGCTGTTGTTGGTGCGTACAGTTATATCATGCGTAATATGGTTATTGCCGGTGTGGCGCTGGTTCCAGTCTGCCTGGCGAGTATCTTCATATGGAAGAACATCAACGTTAGGAAGTTGGAGGAAGAGAAGGGTAAGCAGACGAAGGGCAATGTCTTCTAAATGGCTATTCTATGCCTAAGTAGACTTTTCCTTGCCAGACGTGTTGGCAAACGGAGAGCCCGGATCGTGCGAGGCGAATCTATGTTGTAAGATTTCTCGAAAATAATGCATAATCGACGTGATGCTATATGACATCATATAAGTTCTCTAGCCGTCCATTACGAGTCCAACTGTGCCCGCTTTCATTCGATACTGAGCCGATATATTGCAACGAAATCGTATACAATAGACCCCGGCGATGCAGTATCACCAATGAAATAGAGAATATATTCCACAGAGCGCCGCTCCATGCTTAACTAATGCATAAGCTCAAGCACCACCTCTACATCCCAGTAGCACAAAAAACCTACCCCAACCCCTCCTCCACCCAAAAAAGCAAAACCCAACAGACACCAGATAACTCCCCCACCTTCCCAACCAAACCTATGACCAGCAACACCCCAAACGCCCGCCTCACATCACTATACTACTACTCCTCCCCCTAAACATGAAATTTAAACCTCAATCTCAATCGGATACCCCAACCCCACCACCCCCTCTCCAAACTGGGCCCCAACACCGCGCAAATCGTTCATCGACCGCCCCTCATCATACACATGGGTGACGGCTGCAGTACCCGCCGCTACACCATGCGGCACATGCGTCCCTGAATGCCCGCGCGCGATGTAATATCGCTGTCGCGCCCAGTGAATGTACACAGCGAGAGCGTCGCGGTGGGGTGGAATGCCATGGCGGCCGAGGGAGCGGCGGGGTGGGGCTTGTGCGGGTAGCGGGGAGGATACTGGCGGTGGGGGATTAGTGGTGGGGGATTTGGGCAGAGGGGATGGTGGTGTAGTAGCGAGTATGTCAAGTGTGTGTGGACTTGTGGGTGTGTGGTGTGATTGGGAGATGGGGAGGAGATGCTATAACAAGGGTTGGGATTTCCCGCATAAGCAGAACACCAGCCGCTGACGAGTATGCCTAGTGAAAGCTGCACGTACCGTGGCGAGACATTTCACTCCACGTTGGTGGGGGTTGTGGACGTCAGCTTGGGCGTTGGTGGGCGGTGGGGTAGCGATATTGGGCTGAGGTCTGGGTGGTGATGGCATGGAATGGGTATTGGTTTGTGCTTAGGAGCGGCGAAGAAGGGGAGACGAGCGGGTCTTGTGAGCACTGTTGTTCTAAGTGTGTGCCTGAGGTAGATATGTGGGTGTAAATGAGATATTGAGGGCCCGTTGTGGTGCCGAGGAGCAAGATAAAATGAGAATGAGTCTGCCCGGGACAGTCTTGTTGGAGGGTAGTTCAAACCGGGTAGTAGTTGATGAGCAGAGTGAGGTTTGTGCAAGTACGAGCATCGTTGGGTTTTAAGCATATCGAGGTTTACAGCAAGAGTCACAGAGACACGAGAGCCCTCCAAGCATCAGTGCGGGCATACCTCGAAGTAAGCACTTCAGAAAAGATACCCGGATTTCTGACGGCCCTGGCACGGCCCTCGACTTAGTGGAAGGATTTCGATCCCAAGGAAACGGTATCATATCATGAGCGCTCCCGTGTTAATGGGATTCGAATCTAGGCTAGTCGTAGCTTGTAACATCTTTGGTTACGTGTAGAGCTCATGGTGATACGCGAAGTAGGGTGCTCTCTGAGATCGTGAAGTGATGTAGTTGCCGAGTATCTGTGCGTACATTTGAATTTGGGGGTCAGAAGCTGACTGATGAGAGCATGCAGGGGAATCGCCAGCAATCGATGCCGTAATCTCTCCATGGTCCCGGCGGGGCTTGCCGAAAGAAAGACTGGGTTGCCATTTGCCAACAGTGTGAGTTACGAATTTCAGATCAGACAGAACGCGTGGGTTAGAGCGATAGGGCTGCCACTTTGGATATCCTGGGGTCATCTTTGTGCCTGGCTAGCCCGAAAAGCTGACAGACACGTGCAACAGTGCTATGCGGACTGAGACATGGGAATGTTTTGCTCGAAGGGCTGCGCTAACAGCAAATGGGTCTTACACTGCGAACAATGGATCGCCATATGGGGTCAAAAAGACGTAAGCAGCTGTGCAGGGTGCAGGGTGCAGCTGCCGTGCCACCAAGTTGCGCGATATTGGTCCATCCTTGGTCCGGGATTCCGGATGTGTAGTTGAAGTGAAGTATTTATCCTAGATGTGAACAAAGTGCGACTTTGCAATCTCGGACGTAGGCTCTGTCTTTTTATTCTGCAAGGCCAAGACACCTGCTTCACACGGACTGGTGATTTCACCAAGGCTCGAAAATGAGCGTATTGTTGGCATAATGAAGCAGTTTCGACTAGCGTGTTGCTGTAGACCATTCTCGGTGCCCTTGCTGCATGTTAAATAATGCTGTGCAACACTGCCATGCGCGAGCTCACACATACTTACCGCGCCGCGCTTCATCCTGTATGTACCTGGTAAACAACCCTGGGAAAGAAGACAGCGAGTGTAAGCGAGCATGAATCTTAGCGCAGTAGAGATGGAAACGATTACGAGCAAAGAACTGACTGCAGCCGTATACGCACATTTGACAAGGTACCAATGTCGTTGGTCATGCCAGGTGTTTAGGGCGGCGTGAGTGATAGCTGCAGTGTCTGGTCTGCTGTGCACCTGCAGACAGACTTGAAACCCTCTTGAGCGCTCCACGTCTTCGGACGCCGGGGAACGCGCACAGATGATTGCAAGCGCTAGTAAAGCGGATGGGACTTGTTTGCACGATCAGGGGTCAGAGTTTCTTGTTAAGGCGAGGAAGGCAGTAAGCAGTTCGAAGTCGGGCCAGCAGTGAACCTGTGGCTGCCCCCACCCCCCAGGCTGAAAAGTGAGACTCATGCAAGCGACACCATGAGCGCCGTTGAGACAGATTTCAGGGCCCTGGATTCGATTGCTGTATCCACATGACAGCACACTACGTGAACGGGGTGTACGATCGGTCCTCCATCTTTACCACGTTGTAGGCATGAGCCCCTGGTCGTGCTGACCAAAATTTGCTTATCTGCCACGTCTGGCCTTCTAGAAGAATAAGGTAGAAGCTGAAGAGCGGCCACACGACATTAGTCACTTGAACTTGCAGCACACGATTGTGGCGGTGCAAGGCCAAGATGAAACCAGCATAGAGAGAATCCACGGCCGAATCTCGTATGCTTTGAGCATGGTGTTAGGAACTCTGTCGATCGAGCTCCAAGTGACATCTGGACATGTCTTGTTGTGGTTAGAGTATCGTTTGACGTGAAGGAAGCCTGCGGTCCAGTGGTCTTACGGTTGAGTGGCGAAAGGGAGCCCAATCTTATCGTGGAATGGCCAACTGGCAGATCACAGTCAGTCGAGTTTTGATGCTCTAGTGGATTCAAATGGATTCTGTGTTGGCAATCTTCTTCGTCAAGCCTTAGAATCTGTATGGGGGGGTAACGTGATGGTCCAATTGTTGCAACGGTTCACGCCGACACGTGAGTCGACGAAACGCCGGAGAAGAGTTAAGCGCCTGGTGAGGGAATTTGCGTCTGGGCAGCAAGAAGAGAGGATCGCGATAGGCTGAGTAGATGTGGCTGTCCAGCCTCTCACGTCTGGATGCGAGTGAGAGGACGTGAACATGTCCAGGAGGACCGACACGTAGCACAAGGCACGTGACCAACCTCACCCCTGATCCCCTGTAGCAGCTTTGACCGCCTTTCGCCAGGAAACAAGGCAATGGATCGCTGCATAGATCCAAGCAGGATGAATCATCCATGTGTGTTGTCACGGAGCAGATTTTTTTTCCCTTCAAGATACCAGATTCACCTTTCCATATGATAGCTACCATCCTCGCAACTTTCCAACTCCCCAGCCAACTCCCGCCAACCGTTTGCCCACCTCCAAGCGGCCCTGCATATTCCACGAGGTTGCACGACATCAAGAAAACAATACCTACTCTAGAGTACTTGGAGTACGAGGATTGGATACATACCATACAAACACAAACCACAACCCCCCACATCTTGCATCCTCTGACGTCATCCATTCCGATTTCCCGATTGGTCCCCACCCGGAAGAACAAAGCCGCTGGCTACTCTTACCATGTGTTTCCACAACTACACCTCGCACAACGGCTGCGGCCATCTGGGCGAATCGCATACTCAACCATGGACACTCTGCGACACAGCTCTAGCCCGCCTCAACACTCTGCGTGGCCCAAACTCTCCGCCGCTCTCCCCACCAACAGCAACCAAACACCCATCACACAACCGCCGCTCATCATCCACACGGCGCTTCTTCTCTCTCAGTGGAACACTTTCGCGCTCAAACACTAACGCATCGTCAACATCGTCTCGTCGTGCAGTCTCGGGCCCATCGTGTTCCTCCTCATCATCGGGGATCAGGACGCCGCGCGCATCGACGTCGAGTTATGGCTCCTATGTGCCCACCAGGCCGCTGGACTACTCGACCCTTCCAGACCACCAGCTCGTGGCTGTGAAGTGTGAGAATCCCATCCAGCGCACGCATGTGACGCGTGACATGAGGGTATGCAAGAATTGCGAGTGCGCCATTGCTGATATGCGCAACATGCTTGCGCGGTACGACAAGACAGGTAGTGTAATGGGGACCAGCGCATTCGAGCGCTTCCTCCGTAAAGAAGGAGAAGGTGGTGGGGAGCGCGAAGGCGACGTTACAATTCCACTCGAGGATGATGCGAATGGCGCTATATATGGCGCCAGGCAAGCTATCATCATGGGCTTCCCCGAGAGCGATTTGAATAGCGAAGGACCCAGGGGGTTGGGCACACTGACAGATAAAGAATACGCGTATGGGAATACCCATAGCCACGACTACTTTGCTGCTGCTGGGCCTAACCGGTATTAGGTATTACTGAAGATACTACTACTCTAACTCCCATCATATCCATCCATACCCGGACTTCCTACCCATATGAATCCCACAACCCACTCCAAACCATTCCCAAAACGCACACCCACGCCTCCGCGGCGCGTCTTCTCCGCCGCGGAAATAAACAAACCCCCCATCCTTTTACACACCAACACACAACCTGCATCTTCCCCCGCAAACATAACTGGCTCGGAGCCACTTCCGCCTCGCATCCCTACAATCAACACCAACACCCCCAAACCTCCTCGAAAGGGCAAGTTGAATCCCCATCCCATCCCCCCCCCCTTGATGCACAAAACCCGGCAATCCCAGGATAGCGATCCCTCATCTCCCCCACCCCCCTTCACAGCCCCAAGGAAGCAAGTAAACCGGAAAAGTCCGTTGCTACCTACTACTGTATATACTTTGACTTGAGGCTCAATATACTACCCATGCCGTCAGCTTTGTGTAAGCCCCGTTCCCCCTCCACTGACTCAGGGCAGCTAACTGGCTCGGTCTCAAATGCCCCCCGTCCCCCTTGTCTGACGCCCCCCATCACGCTGTCCTCGCCTCCCCTTCGTCTACCTGCCACGGTACACTATGCCAGGTATCAAGAAGAAATCGTGCAATGTGAGTGGACGGCATCCAGTCCCGCAGTCTTCGATGCTTTTTGTGTGGGAGTTGCCTTTTGGGGAATGTAGGAGAGTATTTGGGGTCCGCGGAACGAAGGGGGGGTAATCATCTGGATCATAGTGGGCCCTTGCGTTGGTGGGAATGTCTTGTATTGGTTTTGGCGTGTCGGTTTGGAAGGCTAGATGTCGACTATGGTGTTGTCGTGAGACGTATTAGAAAACTCTTGAGTGAGCGCGATGGATGTCATGATGGCGCGTGGTATCATGGAGGAGATGTGGGATGAGCATGATGGATATTATTAGACTACGCCCTTCCATCTCTTGCTGGCAACCTAAAATGTAGACCAACCCACCTCCCCATCTTCATAAGATCTTTGTCTCAAAACGCTCTCTCAACTCCTCATACTTCTTGATATCACCTACACTGGGTCGGATGCACTTGGCCGCCTCTGTAAAGTCCATCTCTTGCACAATATCAGAACCTCTTCTCAACGCATTTTGCCCCGCCTTCCTCAGCAGACTCTGCAAATCGGCTCCACTAAAGTTGTTACACTCGTCACTTCTTCCCAGCTCTGCGAGCGCGATGTCCATGGCGCCACCTTGTTGGATGAGCGCCTTGAGGATGCCTACACGCTCCTCTGGCTTCGGCAGCTCAACATAGAGCAACGTCTCCAGACGCCCTGGGCGCAACATAGCCTCGTCGATCATCTCCGGACGGTTAGTGGCGGCGATGAGATAAATGCCCTGACGTGGATTGAGGCCGTCGAGCTCGGTGAGTAGAGTGTTCACAACGCGGGCAGAGGCTTCGTGGAGCTCAGTGCTGCGCCTGGGCACGAGAGCATCGATTTCGTCGAAGAAAATGACACAAGGGACAGAGGACCGGGCGCGCATGAACAATTGACGGAGAGCACGCTCGGATTCACCGACATACTGGAAGATAGTTAGCAGGGGGGTATATATTCTAAGAGGGGAGACATTACCTTGTTCAAAAGCTCGGGACCCTTGACGCTAATGAAGTTTGCTTTCGACTCTGCCGCTACGGCCTTTGCGAGCAATGTCTTACCGCATCCTGGTGGACCCCAGAGGAGCACGCCGGTAGGCGCTGAGATTCCAACCTTCGCGTATCGTTCAGGATTCATTAACGGCTCTACAATAGCCATCTTGAGCTCTTCTCGAACGCCCTCAAGGCCGCCAACATTACTCCAAGTTGTGTCTGGGACTGTCGCAAAGCCTTCTCGCTTGGATGAGGGCACAATCAAAGGCAAGACATTCTCGAGTGCTTGCATACTGATGGCAGTATTGTCATGGCCAGCAGGTCGCTCAGCCTTGGGATCGCGGAGGCGCTTTACCAGTCGGCGGACCGAGAGGACTGATGCTGATGGCTTCTTGGAAGCGGGCTGCGCCTCATCTATATCCATGGCAGTTTCGTATTCGGCAGCTTGCTCCTCGAGTGCTAGCCTGTACTGGTCCAAGGACCAGGTAGCAGCCTTACTCACAAGATCTTTTAGATCAGCGCCTACGAAACCAGCAGTCCTCTTGGCCAAGGCGGGATAGTCGATATCGGCATTCACTTTAGTTTTGCGTGTCAGAGCACGGAGGATCATTTCGCGCATAGGCTCGTTAGGAACACCCATATTAATTTCAGTACCGAAGCGTCCGCCACGTCGCAGGGCAGGATCCAGACTGTCAGGACGGTTTGTTGCAGCCAGTACAATGACTGGTTTGCCATCGTTGCTTTCCATTGCCAGGCTGTCCATTGAAATGAGGAGTTGTGCCACGATACGTTTCTCCATCTGGCTTTGCGCGCTGTCTCGTTTGAGCGCGATGACGTCAATCTCGTCAATGAAGATGATACACGGCGCGACCTCTTTGGCACGCTCGAAGTGCTCTCGTATCTGCTTCTCGGACTCACCCGACATGCTTGAGACGATTGAGGGGCCAAGAATCTCAATGAATGGTACACCAAGCTCAGCAGCGAAGGCGCGACAGATCATGGTTTTGCCGCATCCTGGAGGTCCGTGCAGCAGTACGCCGCGTGGAATAGATATCCCACAATCGATGTATTCTTCTGGGTTGAGTAGTGGGAGCACGAGATGATCCTTGAGCTCATCGACGACGTTGTCGACTCCGCCAATGTCATCCAGCGAGCAGTGGTCGGGTACGGAGGTGTCGATCTTCGCCTCCGCTGCAGCCATCTTCTTCTGCCGCTTGCTTTCACGCTCACTCTTGGTCCTTTCACTGTCGCGCTTCTTTCCCTTTTCTTTCTCGCCATTCACTGCTGATACTGCCCATTGGCTGACGATTTGCTTGTTCATCCAGTCAGTGGAGTGATCTGCATTACTGTTGTCTTCGCTTTTGGGAGCTGCCACTTCGTCGTCGTCACCACTCTTGTCTTCGTGCATGCAGTCAATGGCTCTTTCGATTGAGTCTTCCAGCTGTTTCTTGCTCCTCCTCTTCAAGCTGGAGTTGGATTTGGTGATATGATCGTAAATGGCGGTGACTTGCAGCCCTGACGGTGACCCATGGTGAACATGGAGATAGTCACGAACGACCTGGTAGACATCCCGGTCTAGCCCAGTTTGCAGTCTCCCTCGTGGTGCCATGGTGGTGCTGTATGAAGTGATAGTGCTTGATGGGGGCTGAACTAATTAGCAGAATACAGTCGAAGCAGATCTGGGTTTTATATACTAAGTGAGGCACAGAAGAAGACACAGTAGTCTGGCTGCAGTTGTGAGGATGGGTATGAAAAAATATCCAATGCCCGATTGATTGAAGAAGAGAAGGACGAGAAGTCGGAAGGCGACTTACCTAGTTGCCATACTAGTCCCTGTGAGGACGTATCCTAGCCAACCATGAGTACGCAATCACTACCTTGGTAGAAGTGACTGCTACCTTTAGTAGAAGCAATTCCTATCCTAGGTGCAGGCAGGTGATGTGGAAGATGCAGAATGAACATTGGCCGGGACCGGGTCCCAAAGAGAGGAAAAGTTCACATGCTTTGTCTTATCGATAAACTAGCGTCACTTCGGAGATCGATAAGCCATTGTACCCGTCACTTCGGAGATGGCTCGGCCAGCGCCTCCAAGATAGCCGCATCATCGTCGAGCGAGCCTTCATGGAGGCAGCGACATCATGGGCAACTCTGGCAGCTCCAACAGGATTTCTGCCCAGGACAAGTCAGTCACCATGACGCCCTTTTTACTTGCACCGCACTAACATACACTTGCCTCCACTCAGGGCGATCCTGGACATGAAGAACCAGCGCGACAAGCTACGCCAATACCAGAAACGCATCACCGTCCTCACAGACCGCGAGAAAGCGATAGCGAAAGAATGCCTGGCTAAGGGCGATACGGACAAGGCGAAGCTGGCTCTCCGGCGAAAGAAGTATCAGGAATCGCTTCTATCCAAGACGGACGCGCAACTCGCGCAGCTGGAGCAGCTGACCAGCGATGTCGAGTTCGCCCTTGTACAAAAGGATGTGCTCTTCGGTCTTCAGCAGGGTACTGCCGTGCTCAAGGAGATCCACAGGGAAATGGGCGGCATAGAGAATGTGGAGAAGCTGTTGGGTGAGAATGAGGAGGCGCGGGCTTATCAAGAGGTGAGACCAAGGCTGCGACACCAGTTTGCTAGATCAAAGCAAGAGTTGTACTGACGGTGACGAACAGGAAATCAGCGAACTCCTTGCGAACAAAATGTCAAATCAAGAGGAGGACGAGGTCGAAGATGAGCTCGAGGCGCTCGAGGCAGAAGTCAACGGCGTCCAGCTGCCCAATGCACCCGTCGCCCAACCGCAGTTTACAGCAGAAGAGAAGGCACAAATGGCAAAGGACAGGGCAGCAAGAAGAGCACGCGAAAGGGCTGCTGAGCAGGCATCGCAACCCATGTTGGCATGATAGGTACATTTGGCACGATTGGCACATAGAGCGCATTAGAGCATGGTGTTGGGGCGTTTATTTACTCTGTTGTTGTACCACAGTAATAGAGGTGGGTAGATCTTGGCTATACAGTTGCTCTTCATCTGCTTCCAGACGAGACCAGAGTGCCCCTACTACCTCTTACTTACTGCTACTGTACCCTTCTTGATCTACATCCAGCAGCTTCCATGGTGACGCAATCCTTGGCCACGTGCTCACATAGTCAGCCAGGACAGCATGCGTCTTAGATGTGCCAGTTGCTCGTAGTCTCACTCACCTCTCGCGCCCAAAACCAGAGGCTCTGATTGAGTTCAAAGTAACTTCACGCGTCGAGTCGACAGGATACGATACATCTGGCTTATTCGAAACCACACTACGTAGCTATACCGAGTACCTACCGGTACCGGTACTCTCTCAGCTGCTGCAGCTCAAGCTACCCCGCCCCCGCCATCTCACGTCTGCTCGTGCGCGCGTAGATTCGTAGACAACCACAACAACGCCGCCTCGACCATGTCACACTGCCACGATGAACACTCACACTCGCACTCGCACGCCCACGGCGACGATGGCCACGACCACAGCGACGACATAACACCAGCCCTCCAAAACATTCTCCACGCACAAATCGACTTCCCACGGCTCCTCACGCTCAACGAATCCACGCCGGACAGCGGACGCGCCATCTGCCAAAAAACATGGGCGCAGCGGCTCAGTCCGACCCCGGAACTCGTCTCTAGCGCGGACGAGCAACTGCTCATGATTGTCCCCTTCACTGGCCAAGTCCGCTTGCACTCCATCCTCCTGCGCACTTCGCCCTCGCTGCAGTCCCCCAAGACGCTCAAGGTGTTTGTCAATCCCCCCGAGGGCTTCGACTTTGACACTGCGTCTGACACGCCGCCAACGCAGGTGCTCGAGGTGGCGCGGACGTCGGAGGTCCAGGAGATTCCGGTGAAGAGGGTGCTGTTCAACACCACGAGGGCGCTTGCGCTGTTCTTCGAGGATAATTGGAGTATGGGGACGGAGGAGGAGGAGGAGGAGGAGACGAGGGTGGGCTATTTGGCATTCAAGGGCGATTTCTTGAAGTTGAGTCGGGAGGCGGTGAGTGTGCTGTATGAGAGTGCGGCGAATCCGAAGGATCATCAGATTGGGGGTGTTGGCGTGGGAGAGGGGGTGGGGAGGAGTATACAGTGAGGAAGCAAGGACGGAATACAGTGGCAGAGTGAAAGACCGACGTGGAACTGGTTGAAATACACGAATCCAAGAGGAGCAGTCTCTGGGTTTGCCCTCGGTTTATATCGCGTATAAACGAATGCGTGTCTCGGCACCCAAGAGCTGCAGCACTCTGCCATGGTTGCTCAAGTTCTAGTCCAACTGTCATGATCTATACATTGCGTGTAATTTCCATGGGTATCGTTATCTGCCTCGTATCCCTCCCCATACTTCTCCACCACCTATACAATTCTCCCCTTTGCACGCTCCTCACGCGCGCACGCGCCAACACCTCCATCTCAACATCCCCATGCTCCACCGATCCATCCTCCCACCCTGCATCCCCCTGCTCAAACATGATGCGTACTCCCCAACACCTCCCCATGCACCTTCCTCCAATCAATCTTCGAATCGACTTCCTCATCCAGCCGTCCGACTACCGCCACGCTATCCCCCCGTACAATGTACAGTCCCAGTGGAACTTCCTCGGATGGCACTTCCTCCTCGCGCGGCCGGATGATGCGTTCAATGGCGTTTTGCAGCACGAGGTTCATGCTGTTGTCGCACGAGTGGAGGGTGCCGACCATGGTGCGGCCGTCGAGGGTAAGTACGGATACGCGCTCTGTGGAATGGGGAGTGTTGGATTAGTTGTAGGTTGTAGGTTGGGTTATATGTGCGGGGGTATGAGTGCGAGTGGGATTGGGTTTGGGTGTGGGCGTGCGTGGAGAGAAGGAGCTTGTGGTAGCAAGGGAATGGGGAGGTTTACTGTTCAAGTAGACGTTCAGCGACATGTTTGCTAGATACGTCTCGAGGTTTATACCCGAGCGTGTGAGGAGTACAGGACGGGGATTCTTGGGTTTCGTCGGATCAGAGCGTGGCAAGCGCTGTGATGGGGAAGCGTGAAGCGCGACTCGCACGTCGTCGTGGCGTGTATCGCCTGTCGCGCTCGTCAAAGCCAAGAGGAAGGAAGTATGGCAGTGGAAAAGTGACAAGGAAATGGAGATTGTGGGCGACGGTCCTGTCTTTCTCGGCTTTCTTTCGTGTTGTGCCGTCGAGGTGGGAGAGGCGACCATGTTTTGGAGCTTGGGGATTGGTTCCCTCTGGCCAATGGGAGGCGAGGACCTCCGCAGGCGTCCTCTTCTTCCTTCATCCATGTTGGCAGTCTGGCTTTCTTCGAGACTGTCACCATCGCCATACAACCGCCCATGGTGATGCAATTGTCGAGTCCATTTCGCTATTGATCACTGTCACAATATCATCACGGCCGTCTGAAGTTCCATCTCGCTCTACCTAAAGCAAAGCGAGTGTGTACCGGTACCGGTACCGGCATCTGCCTATTATGCAAGAGTTTGAACTGCCCTCTCTTAGGTGCCACTGCCACAGCAACAATCATTACAGCAGCGAAGTTCAGTCCATCGCTTCATGCCTTGCCACGATTTCATGTCCTCTGGTCCTCTCAGGTAGAACTCTGCGTTGCGTAAATTGTCATGTACCGGTATGATTTCCATTCCACCTCAGAACACCCGCCTTCCCGGTACCGGGTAGTGGATTATGGAATCACCAATCAAATTCACTTTTCAAACAAACTATCAAGTCTTGTGAAGCATGGAGCTGAGAAGTCTATAGTTTCAAATTGAAGAGATAGCATGTAATTAAGCTCGGGCGGACCTCGCAAGGCCAACCCGGAGATGCTAGATATACAGGTCTATCGTGAATTATAAACAGTCCATCTGAGGGATGGAAATTGGTTGGGGTGTGGGAACGCCTCTGGTTTTCAGGCGCTGGATTAGAACATTAAGTATACCGTAGCGAGGCGCAAGGATCCCAACAGCAACTGACATTCCCAGACTCGTCTAAGTGCGGCAGTTCGCGGGCAGAATGATCTGCTGCTTAATGGCAAGTTTGGTGGGGTCAACCTTTGCGTTGACGGCCATGATCTGTCCGACGGTGGTGTGCATCTTGCGAGCGAGCTCAGCAAAGGTGTCGCCTGACTTGATCTCGTAGGTGCCAATCCAGTCGCAGCAGCTGTGAGGGCAGACAGGGATGTTAATGAGCTGACCGGGAGAGATCACATTGGGGTCAATGTCAGAGTTGGCTGCAATGACGGAGTTGAGAGTCACGTTGAAGTTCCCAGCAATGATGGTGAGAGTCTCGCCGCTGCGCACGTTGTAGCTGCTACCGACACCATTGATGCAAACAGCAGTGGCAGTGTTGGGGGGTGGAAGACAGGAGGTGTTGTCAGGCGTCGTGCACTTGGTCGGGATGCGGAGGACCTGCCCAACCTGGATGAAGTTGGGGTTCTGGATTTTGTTCAAGCTGGCAATGTCGCAAATACCAGACGTATAGTTGCTGGCGATGAGAGACAGAGTCTGATTTGCGGCGACCACGTGATCAACGATGAGACTGGAGCCACATGGGGGAGGGGTCGTGGTCTGACCTGCATGTTTGTTAACATTTGACTTCGTGATTGTTTACTCGATTGGCACTTACGGCGACCATTTGTTGGACAGGTGTTGTCAGCGGCTGGCTTTTGGCACTTGACTGGGATACTGATGAAATCCCCAGCAGTAATCCGGCTCGCGTCCTGAAGTTTGTTATAATTCTTGATGTCGCAAATGCTGGACTGGAATCTCTGGCTGTATCCATATACAGTATCACCACGTTTGATTTGAATTCTAGCAACGGAGGCAGCTTGACATGGAGGATTGACCGGATCCGGGACTGTTAGTTGTTAGTTAATCCGGGATTCACAATCGGTTTTTGTGATTGATTCGTGTTGTGCGCACTCACTAGATGTACCAGTATATCCTTTACCACCAAGACACGATGTATTGTCCTCTTGGCCAGCGGCACACTTGGGCACCTGAATAATCCATTCTGCCTGGATAAAATCCGAGTTCCTGATGCCGTTGAAGTTTGCAATGTCGCAAATACCAGACTGGTACCGTTGGGCGATGTAGGTCAAATTATAACCGGTCAGGATGTTTACTTCCTGAAATTCGGTGGCGCCACATGGAATTTCGGTTTCTATTATAAGTTCGTTAGTCTTGGATATCCAAGCGCCTTGTGGCATCATAATCGATGAAATCGTGGGTACTCACGACGACGGGCAACAGATGCTGCGCTAGCAGTGGCACCCAAAAGAGCGACACTGGCTACGAGGAAAGAAACCATGTTGATTTTGTATTAAATTCTATTCTAGCCAGGACAAGCGTGGGGGTAAGTTGGAAAGAGTGACTGAGAGAGTGTGGGTATCCAGACTGTGATGGGTGTGATGGATTGCATCCCGCGAAGTCGGCACGCTACTTATACATCTACGAAACATAGTCTCGTAGCTTTGTCTGGACATTTCCTCTCATCATGATGCTTGGTAGCGCCGCCTTGTGTGGATCGACAGGCACATGGGCCGACTTCGGTTCTGCATCGCAAATTGCCAGAGTAAGCATACCATGGTGTATTTGGCCGAACAGTCACGCACATCAAGAACTCCCGCCCTTCGACTGTCCCTCTACCTCTTTTGCAAACAGTCCAATATCTGCTCATCGACTTGTTTGTTTGAATCGAACGAGTACTGTTGTTGAGCCTTTGCTTGGTACTACATCAATCAGTAAATTGCCACCCAGCAATGATAAATTCACAATGATGGTGTTCTTCGAGGTCGAGGGACGGGCCGCACACTACCCCGGTACAGAACTCGCCGAGCAGCTAGGCATCTTCTATGCCAAAGTAGCTCTAACCAAATGTCTTGAGATGAATTAGTTGGTACTAACGAATATAGTACTGTCTTGTTACTGCTTACTTCCGAAGTGCCACCACATAAACCCGAAATGAGACAAATTCTGTCGATTGGTTGCGCAATGACACATACGGACCCCGTGAACGGTTTCTCCTGCATGAGAGAGGTATCAATGTGCACAACCAACCTTTGTCTATTTCTGATATTGCTCAATTCACAGAAGAGCCGATTATCGCCAATTTCACTGGGATGCCTCATTCGACTGGTGTTGCAAAGGTGCCGTACTCACACCGCCTGGCACCCATCAGAATAAGACTGTGAGCCCTTCGATGACCTGCCGAGAAGAGACTTCTATTGTTGTAGCAAGCGTCTTGGGTATCAAGATCGGTGCTTAAAACGCTACGATCAAGGCTTACACACACAGTAGTTAGCATGCAGCTAGGTGTTGTCACTGATGTGTGGCGCCGTGGCACCTGTACACAGTCATGACTTTGGACCTTGTGCTAATATATTCAGTTGGGACGCTAGATTGCGACCGGGTCCGAGAAGTACTACAATAGAATCCATCTCACATCATCTTCGGGCTTTCCTGAGATGTAATTATTGTTGGTATGTAGAGCCAGCCCGGGACTCCGTGGTATCCTTGTCTGCAATTTGAATGGTTTGCAAAAGACGTTAGTCCGCAGATATGCTAACTTGTGAGGCGTCAATGTGAAATAATTTCCGATTGCAAACATCAGGTTCTGGAAGAAGCCCTTTGTTGTGCTCAAGATTTTCGATGCTGGAGACGAGGTGACGATGGTGAAGTTCGTTCCTGAGGCAAGGGAATGACCGATACCTAGGTACCGGTACCGTACCAGTACGACGTGCCCCACTCCGATACGGCAATTCCCGACCGAACACTATTCACCTTAAGAGCTTTGGGCGTTGAACACCATGGACACATGTGCGTGACCCTGTTCATTTAATGTAGTTATTTGATTCGACAATTCAACAAGATATCGTACCAGAGGTACATAGATCTAGATTGATGGTTGCATGTATAGAACAAGAGATATCGATAAGCCTGGGCGTTTTCTCATCTGGCCCCTTTTTTCTAGATCTCGTACCTGTGATTGCTCGTCAGAAATGCAGTCTACCTGGCATGATACCATCTCTCGACTGCAATGAATCATCACATCACCCTTCTGTTACATCACAATGTAGCACCCAGAGTATCAAGATTCTGATTGCATCAATAGCAGACCCTCGGTGGAAATGAAATGGCGTCCAGAAGAGCGTGCCATAACGATCGAAACTGAGTTGCGCATCCTCTTTTTTCATGGTGCTAATTGTGACACCTGAGACAAAGCGTGGTCCGAATCGAATTTACCGACGCTGGCGTAGCTCATAAACTTCTAGCAGGCGGTGTTTTATCATCGGGATCTTTCTTCTATGGCCTCAGATTGAGCTCTTAACACAGTTGTTGCCGAATCGATCCTAAAATAGTGTCATTGACTGAGATGGATTTAAATAGAACCAGATTATCCTGTCTCAAGCAGCCTGCTCGACGATCTATCGGGCCATTTCCTTTAGACTTTTGACTGAACCAGATAGCTTTGCGTACTCGTAGATCTACCGGAACTAGGTAGGAGGATATCGTAAGGCATTCATTTGAAAATTTGAAAACTGTGGTCGCTGGCTATCTACATGTCCGGAATTTCACCCTTCATTGGTGGGCCGGTGTACACCTCGTCGGACTCGTCTACCTCATCAAGAGCTTCCTTGAGGATAGCGATACCTCTTCGAAGCTCATCTTCTGGGATGTTCAACGCTACACCTAATCTGACACGTTCACCATCCGGATAGCACAGCAGCCCTTTATGCAGACACAGCATTCCGAAGCGTCGGGTGTATGCGCGAATATTGTCGACACCCTTGAAATATATCTGCAAGTCTGCTCCTCGGCAAGTCGTGTAGTCGAGGTGTGGGTGTTTCCAGTCAGCAGTAGCTTTGGTCCAGAGGTCGCCAATCCACAACGCTCTCTCTAGCAAGTTTTCATCGTCATAGACTTGCAACGCGGCCTTGGTTGTGGCGATACCCATCGGAGTCATACCGAAGGTTGCAACATTCTCGTATGCGTTGATGAGGCCCATCACTTTATCAGTACCTATAACATACGAGGCTGGGTAAGCACCAGCGGTGATAGACTTTCCCATGATCACCATGTCGGGCTTGTTCTCTGGGCCCATCCAGTCGGAGCACAAAAACTTGCCGGTTTTTGCGGCACCCATGCGGATCTCATCAGCGATGAAGATGGCGTTATATTTCGCACAGAGCTTTCTCACACCGGTAGCGAAATCGAGTTCCTCTTTGAAGGTGCTGATGTAATTGTCAGCCGTCAAAACTACCACGAATCTCTATGATTGTCGAGACACTCACGGTTTCTTCCCATGGATACACTCCATGATGACTGCAGCGATGCGACCATGGCAAGAAGCGAAAACCTCCTCGAAATCTTCCAGATGGCAGTAGCGTAGAGGCTTTCCGTTTGTTGGGTTCCGGTTCGTCAGGTTTTCGTTGAAAATACCAAAATCTGCAGCGAGCATTGCGTGGTTAGTCCTTTTTGCATCCGAGAACAAAGACGATTGCCAGTGCCAACTTACTCCTGCCTTGACCCATATCGTTCATGATGGGCCAGATACCAGCAGACATGCCGTGGTAATTGTCTGACACGCCGAGAACGAGCGTTTCCCTGGGATCAATCCCCTTGGCCTTGATTCCCCATCTTCTTGCGAATTTGACAGCAGCATCAGCTGCTTCGGAGCCGGACACAGAGCTGATAATCCTGTCGTAGCCGAAGCGCTCACACATCATCTTGCAGAACTCTGGCCATGTTGCTGTCTTTGTAGCGATATTTGAGAGTGTGACTAGAGAAGTAGGTGAATAAGTAACTGCCAGTCGATTTGAGGTGAGAGCTCACGTACTTTCTTGCGCCGATTTGATAACTGCTTCAACAATCTTCGGGTGGCATTGGCCAAGGTTCGTCGCGCTCATCATCTGGATGAAATCGATGATCTCGTTGCCATCCACATCCTGTTTTCGTCTCGCGGTTAGCATGCCATACTGTCCGCTTCCTTTTGGTGCTCTGACACCACGAAGCATGCGACTCGATCGGCGCGTGTTGACCATACCTTCAAAATCGAGCCTTTTCCACTTGCAATGAACGTTGGTAGCGGGTAGACACCACCCGCTGCGTACTGGCTCTCAATCTCTAAAAGTTCATTTACTCTTTTAGACAGGTCGGCAGCGCTCTTGGGGGGCTGCTGCTCTTTTGAAATCATAGTAAAAGCAATGTGGCAGAAATCTTGGGACTTTAAATTTTGAATGATTTGAGATAGGAATGTTTGGTCTTGAGTTTGTTGAGCAACCTGCTTTCGTGAGTGAAAGCCGTCTACATATATGCTCTGGCGAGGACCTAATCTATGCCAAGCATATGGCTTGCGGCAGATGTGCCCCTTTGGGTCAACGCAGGCACACCGGACATTCCGCCCATGATGTTTTAGGCACTGGAGGATATCAATGCTAATCGTGCTGTCTCAGCCTCCTTCCATTGACTCAGTACAATCTTCGGACTCTGGGAAGATGGTCTTCGTGCATTTTGTACTGGTGATAAGATGCCATTCACTCGATGCCGTGACGTGTTCGACATGGCAAAACTCGCAATTCAATGCCGCGTGTAGTCATTCTTTCTGTGACTCAATTACTGGACCCTTTGCGGGGAGACGAGCATAGATCCATCATCTCTCCGCATAGAAAAGTACCAAACCGTGGAATTACATAATACCGGCCATGGATTTGCGGTGAGCTCTTGAGCCTGGAGGGAAGTCTGCGGGGCTTCAGTGAGCGAGTAGGGAGCGTCCGGCAGTTTAGGTGCGGACAAGCGCGCGATTCCTTTTTGGGAAAATCTGCCGCAGAAGACAACGCAGAAGAGGACCACGGCCGGCCATTGCATCTGTGCCAGTGGGGACGGACAAATGCTGTTGGAGCCTCCTAAAACACCTATCTGAATTCACCTGCTCTGTTGGTTCATCAGCGCCTCCCACAACGGGATACCGGTAGTGATCTGGTCATGGGCCCTTGACGTGCGGTACTTTGACCAGGATAGGAAAAAGTACCGCCACCTGTGGTTTCGTCCGCATCAACTGCCCTGATAGAGTGACTGGCGGATGGCGCAAACTTGCTACTATTGCAATACTGATGATGCATACTTCGAAACACGGGTTATGTACCCCTGGATCTCAAACTAGCCAGCTGTTATACCTACAGGGCACTTTGGGTATCGTTGCAAGCGTTCGGGATTCCGGACATCCGATTTGCTGCTACCGGTAGGTATCGGTTTTGGCGCCGCACCGGACGTTCTTGTCACAGTACCATAGAAGTACATCCCACCGTCCCCCGAACGAGTGCGACTACGTTCATGATACAAAAGCCCTAGTGTTTGATTCTTTCAGAGGCGAAGCGTCGATGAGACAGGAAAGTATGCATGTAACTTCGTTCACATTACCAATGGTACGTTTGGACTTGAAATGTACCGGTACGGTATCATGTGCATTGTGCGTTAAAGAGCGTGACCCAGTGCTTGGTATACATGCCTTGCATGAATATGTGCGTGTGATACACATGTTTGAATGGACTTTGCACTTTGCCATGTTTCGACACAACTAGAGTAGGCAGAGACTTTGGAACTAAGGGTCTCTCATGGCGATAGATCAACTTCAACCAAAGTCCTAGGTATTGGTCCCAATACCCGACGCCCGTAGGCAAGATAATGGTCACTGCGCTACTCTGAGGTCAATCATCATGCTTCACAAAGCGACAGTGAAAAGTAGTCGAAATAAGCTTTGAGTGACTCGTGTTACAAGTTTCGACCTAGATCTCTGCAGTCTAACTTACTCACTGTCTTATATTGTTGCTCACTTTCTTAAATTGGAGATTAAGAGTCGCTGTCTCCCCACTAAATTTCAACCCAACTGGATTCAGACTTAGGTAGGACCTCGCTGAGGATGCCGGCAACGTTATTGAAAAACGACAATCAGGATAGATTGAACCCCTCGTACTTGAAAGGGCTCGAAACAGTAATGCAACATTGGAATGATCGTATCCTTGCAATGACGCCTACTCTGTCGATTATCAATCTCAATGTCGGCCAAATTCTTCTGCATCAATCCAATTTCTCGGGTTATGAGAGCTACCAGAGACACAAAAGGCGGAGATAATAAAGTACCGGTAAAGCTTGGCTGACATATACAAGCTTATTGAGACAAGACTACACACTGAAGCAGCGTTATCAATATGTTGAGTGGCGGGAAGGATTTTGCAGTGGATCGAACCTAGATGTCCCAATATTCCTGCAGATTGATTGTGTAATGATAAAAAAATGTTTTTTGCGCGCCTTCGTAATCAACCATGCAGCCTCGTGGTTGAGAGAAGCCATGTCGTATTGGAGTCATTGATCATAATTGACGACAATTGACGACGGCGGCCATTCTGTTAGTCATTTGTGGCAATCAACATGAAAAAGTCGGGAAGCCTGTCATCGCAGCTACTTGCAAGAATGCTAAGATCATACTTAGTCAGATATAGGTGTTCTAGTGCCTAAGTGTATAGAATCTTTAGCTATACAATATTACATGTTACCTACCATGTGGTAGACTTAGTATTCCACGTGTATAATGTCGTGCACAGTCAAGCCCAGCGTGATAACCCATATTTTGGAATTTTCAATAAAAAAACACGGCGATGATTTCAAAAATGACAGTGTCGTGACATACATGAGACGACAAAGCTGGTTTCAAGCTCGGGTAAGAAATGAACCTGCTTTTGAAGTCTGAACTCGCTTGAACCGTATCATGACAACTTTGGTATCATTCAGCGTTAATGCAGCAACTAATACTCAACATGATGGACAAGTTGAATGGAAAAGAGCAGCAAGCATAGCGGGCCGTAGAAGACGTGATCCTAGGCAAATTTCATTTCAAGTTTTATTCTTCAAAGCAAGCTTGTACCGGTACCGGTAGTTGAGAGCATGGCATTACCAATCAAGCTCGTACGAAAACGGACTTGGGAAACTTTCTAGAAAAAAGCCCACATTAGGAGTACAAGCAATCAGAATGCAGACGAAACTTCGATGTTAATATGCCACAAAGCATGCCAAAGGCTGCTCACTGGCGGATTCGGTGGCCAGATAGGTGTGTTAGGGTCTGGGCGGGCCAAGTTTCTATATCCGGTCTAGTGCCACATGTACAAGACTTTTCACGCATGGTAATTATTGCCAAATCGATTACTAATTTCTCGCAGCGGCGTTGCGGGCGAATACTTTTGATCTCACCATGTCTGAAGACGGCCAGAGTATATATACAGAGCAGTGGACTTGGATCTTTGCTAAATCATTCAACAACAGCGCACTCATCTACCCGGACCTGATCTTGGACTTCGACTTTGACTTCAGCACATTCTTCGTATTTTTCCAAGAACGACCTTGCCTTCAGTAAACACAAATTCTACTACCAAAATGCCTACTCTATCCCTCCGCGAAGTCTTGGGCAAACCCAATTCAACTGCATCTGTCAAGGATTCGGTTCTCATCATCATCGACGCACAAGACGAATACATCTACGGCCCATTACCAGCTGTCGACTACAAAGAAGTCAACGTTGCCATCGCTAGTCTGCTCGAGAAGTACCGAAAGCAGAATGGACATGTGATTCATATCGTACACAACAGTGGCACAGACGAGTCCCCGATTTTCAAACCCAACGGCAAATTGATCAAGGAAATGGATGGTATCGAGGCTATCAATGGGGAGACTGTCATAGAGAAGAAGCACGCCGGCTCATTCGCGGAGACAAACCTCCAGGAAGTTTTGAAGAAGATTGGGTTGAACAAGCTGGTCTTGACAGGGTACATGGCACATGGCTGTGTATCTAGCACAGCTCGCGAGGCAGCCACGTTGGGCTATGATGTTCTTGTTGCGCAGGACGGTGTTGGCCAGCGTGACATGAAGGAAATCCCTGCTGCGCAAATCAAGAAGGGCGCTCTAGGAGCACTGGACGACATGTTTGGCACTCTCGTCACAAGTGCTGACATCAACTAAAGCATGTGTAATTAGCAAATCAAAAGCATTTCTAGTGCCGGTAAATCAACATTCATGCAAAAGGAAGTCCACGCAACAAGCATGCGCAAATGCCTCAGAGACACAGCGGATGAAAAGCGCATACCAAAGTGAAATGTGCATAACTATCTCTCATCTGATCCACGCAGTTATCTCTGACTAAAAGCTGCCTCTGACGATCTTTCTCATGTTAAAATCACCGCTCCTTCAACTGACCATGCAGCTTGGCGAGGCATGGTCTTATGCGTGAGCATCCAAAGAATGACCGGCCGGCCGTACACTAGGCTTATTCCTCTGAGTTGTTCAACAGCGCACTTCGGAGACAACCATTGGACGTACAAGTTCGGGTGATGCGTAGCCCCATTCTTTCGTATTATGTAATGTGTCCTTCGCGCTGCCCAGTGGATTGATCCACAAAACGATGCCTTTAAAGTATGGGATACATACTGCGCGATCGACCCAGTCGAGCGTGGTGGCATGTCATATGACCATGGGTTTAGCGTCGGGCGACTTGGGCTTTACTCCGAGTGGTTAGAATATCCCTGTAGGTTCAAGTCTACGTCACAGCGGCAAATTTTTATAGTTATATAAACTAGCCTATAGTTAAGTATAAATTAGGGTAATTTAAGTAAGTAAATATAGTTTTTATTACTATCTTTTTTAAATATATTCTAAACCTATTCTTAATAATATATAGGCGTTCCTAAATACTATACTAAAGTTTAGTATAGTAGTACTAGATAATATATCTAAACTAGATAGTAATATTAGAGATAAATTTAGGTAACTATATAAAGTGCTAGAGGAGGATAGTAGTAGTAGTATTAAGGAAGTAAGTAAAAGTAAATAGAATAAGTTTAGAATAGGTTAGTAATATATTATAGGGGTATAATATATACCTTACTTATAGTAATAGTTAAGGACTACTACTTATACTAGTAATTATTAAGTATATAGCTATTCTCCTAGCATACCCTTAATTATATAGCTAAGGGTATAGGTATATAATACTAGTTTAGTAATATAAAGATAGCTCTTACCTAATAAGAGAAGAGGTGCTTATACAGGCTATATAGGTAACATGTTAAGAACACGTTCTTAAATTATTCTAATTCTAGTAGGTATAATACTCCTGCTAGTCTATCTATCTTAATAGGCCTATAACTTTACTATTCTTTAATAGCTAGCTAGTAAGCTAGTATAAATACTAATACTCTAGGGTAAAAGCATGTAAGTATCTTAAGAATATATTATAAACATGTTCTTATTATGTTATTAATAATATATTATATAATTAGATCTAAACCTTAAAAAGTATAGTACCTAAAAAAATTCTATAAAGAGAACTATAAATAAGAAGCTATTATTATAGCCTTATTAAGCGCTTCTCTTTAAGGATTTATAAGGACTACTAGGTGTCTTATTATCTTATAATAAGGACTATAGTAAATTAAGTAGGGAGTAAAACTTAAATATATTTAAAACGTGTTAATAATAAGTTAGTAAATTGTAGAACAGGCTTAACTATATATTAGCTATTAGAACTATAGCCTAATATCTACTACTAGGAAAAAATATTATTTTAGTTAGGTACTACTAGAGGTAGACTCTATATATCTATAAGGTCTTCTAACTAGGGAGATATTAAATCTTTCTAGTAGTCCTACTTTATATTCTATAGTTAAGCTATAGTTAAGCTAGATAAAGAAGTGTAGTAGGTATATTGTAACCTATTCCTAACACGTTCCTAACATATTCTAGGCGTTAATTATCTATAAGGGCAAGGATCTCTATTTAAAATCCTATATAAAGTTACCTTCTAAGTAATTATACTAATAGATATAGTAGTAATACCTTTTTTTACTATTATTTCTTTTAGTATATATATATATATACCTCCTCCTCCCTTAATACTATCTAATAGTAATATTAAGGAAGTAGTAAAGGTGTTATAGCCTATACTTACTCTATAGCTTATATAATATAAGTTATTTATAACCTATTATAAATATATTCCTAACTTATTATAGCCTAGTTCCTAAACTTAACCTAGCTCTAAACCTATCTCTAACTTAAAGGTTTCTATTCTATTAAAGAAATATATATTAGCTTTATAAATAAAGATAAAATCTTGCGTATTATAAAGTATAAAAAGCTTCTATAGTTCCTATTTAAGAGTAGCCTTAGAGGAGTACACTATAAGTAGAGGATAAAGTATTAGGATCCTAAAACTATACATGGTGTAAGAGAACAGGTTTAGAACACGTTGCTAACACGTTACTATAGGCGTATATATAGCAAATCTTTATATTAAGCTTAAGTAACTTAATTATTTACCTTTTTAAAGAGTAGGTATTAATTCTATTAGATTAAGATATATTCTAGATAGATATATTATATAAGAGGTTATATAGAGTATAGGTAGAGATTCTAATAGTAATCTTCTACCTACAGGAAAAGAAGTGTACGCATTAAGAACAGGTTTATAACACGTTTCTAACACGTTATAACGTGATCCACCACCGAGCGCCCACCCCCACTGAGCGCCTACTAATACCAAAATCCACCACCCACTAAATGAGGATATTGCGCCACCCACAATAGCTATTATCACGAGATTTCTTAGAGTTGCAATTATTAGATCTATTAGAGTAGATTAAATATTTTAGATTATATAAGCAGCTTTTTAGGGGGTCTGATTAGGCGCCTACGCTGTGAAGTTGCCTCCACCACTATATCCTCTTCTACTAGCTCCTTATTAACCACCTTAGCTAGTATAATAGTAGGAGGCTTAAGGATTTGCCTCTTGCCTATTTAGGACATTTTAATATTATTTTAGAGTTGCTTTTCTAGTTACTTAGTAGTTTTCTGCTCGTCACGTGCAGTAGCTTTTTAGGCGGCTTTCTCCTCCTGCTCCTTCTTAGCAATTACTTAATTTAGGCGACGCTCCTCTATAAGTTAAGCTTTAGCAAGCTTCTATTACTTATAAAGCTTGATTACCTCACTTTTTTAGTGTTGTAGCTCCTGTTCTTTAAGGTTCTTTTACTCCTAGAGCTTGAACGCTCGCTCTACCTTTAATAGTGAAATAAATTAGGTACCACTACTATAATTATTATTAGGGGGTAATAATAGAGGTTTACCACGCTTCCTACGCTTCTTCTTATTAGCTAGGGCAGCCCTTAGGTGTTTATTTTTATAGTTAAGTAGAGTATTTCTTACTAATATAATATAGATTGTCTAGCTAAGCTTCTTTAACTGTTTATTATAGATATTAATTACAGTATTATAGAGTAACTACTCTATCTTTCTCTAATTGCTTGCACTTAATATTAAGGTTGTACTATTACTTAAAGAAGGCTAGTTACTATTATTTATAGGTGCTTTAAACCTTAAAAGGATAATATTAGGGTTAAGTAGTAAGATGCCTATTACTTTAAAAGCTATTAATATTAGCTTTTCCTTAAAGGTATTGCTCTATACAGCATTAAATAACTAGTAGAAATCCCTCTTAGTAATGCTTGTAAGCCCTTAGGAGCTATCTAGAAAACTAGATAGTTAAGCTTTGTATAAAGCTGCGAAGGGAGCAAATACTACAATATTAAGTAGCTAAAGGGTGTAAGTGCTATAAGGGGGATATATTATAAGTAGGATCTTATATTTATTATAGTACTTAATAAACTCTATTATTACGTGAGATCTATAGCTATTAAGGATAAGGAGCTAGTATAAAGTACAAGCTTTAGCTTTTATCTTGTAATTAAACACCTCCTTAAGCTAGGATACCCCTAGGGTGTAGCTCGTCCACCTACTTAGTAATCCTGCAAAGAAAGCTTAGTATTATAATAGGTTAAAATCTTATAACTAGGTATCCTATAGAGCTCTAGATTAGGACTAATAAATAAGGGTAGGGGTAAGAGCAGTACTATTAGCGCATATGCAAGCTATAGTAGTAATCCACTCCCTATTACTATCCTAGAGTATAGCTCTAATCTTTCTCTGCTTGTAGGCGCTCTTATTAAACACACGTTTAGTTTTTAATAGTACTCTAATAAGAAAACCCTTCTTATCTATATTATAGATATACTAACTCTTAATATTATATTACTCTATTTTTTAGTATAAAAGCTTAAAGTATAAGCTATACTTAAAGGTAGAATTAGCTTTAAAGCGGTTGCGATTAAGCCTAGTAGCCTAATAGGAGATAAGATTAATATTATAGCAGTTAATAAAGCGCTGCACCTAATTTTTACCTACTAGATTCCCTATTATTTTAGTTACAAAATTTTAAATAATAGTCTATATAGGGGGTAATCCTCGCCTACAAAGCTCTTTAATATACTCTATAAGCTCGCTTTCTTGCGTGGTGTTAAGTATTTAACTATTTAGTAGAGTAGTAGTGCGCGCCTGCTAAATTTTCTAGTAGCGTCTAGACAAGGTTAACCGCAAGCAACTATACTTTTCTGCTATTTCTAAGTATGTAAAATCTTCTCCAAGAGTTAAGGATTTGATTGCTGCAAGCGCGTCGTTAATAGGTGCCATAGTTGTTAAGAAATTTGGTGTTGAAAATTTAGTGATTTTAGTGTTAGTGGGCGCTCGGTGGGGGTGGGCGCTTGGTGGTGGATCACGTTAGTTATTATACTTAGCTAAATTATTATAGATAAGGATATAACTAAGATATATTAAGTTACTATTACTAACTTCTTTTAGAAGTATAAAGCACTTATAAAAAGACAAGTGTTATAGAGGTATATTTACTTATAGGGATTCTATAGGACTACTATTAATATATATAATAAGTAGATAATAGGCAAGTTTTATAGCATACTACAACCTGTTTATAACGTGTTTCTAACTTGTTTCTAGGACTTAGGCGCTATCTCTAGTTAATTAATCCCTATAAGCGTGACTAGCGCTAGCAACTTTAATCTTATATAAGATTTTGTTAAGTACATCTATAAAGAAGTATTCACAAAGTATATAAAAGAGAGCTAGATAATACTACCTCTTTATATCTAAGTGAATAACTACAGGCATTAATAGCAGAGGAATACTTTTAGCTTGCTAACCTCCTCTTACGTAAGTAAACACATTCTAAACCTATTCTAAACGTGTTCCTAACTTATTCTTATATAATTAGAACACAAACCCTCTAAAGATACCTAAAACTAGGTAATCTATAAGAAAAACCTAGTAATTGCTACTAGGATTGTGTAATACTATAGTAAAATATTAAAAGAGGTATAGGAAAAACTAGAATCTTATTTAAATATAGCTAAGCAAGCAGGCTAGAAAGGATATAAAACTAGTAAGTATATAAGTATTCTTAAGGCTACTTAGAAGTAAGTTTATAAGCTATTCTTAACCTATTAGAATTATATAAGTAATATTATATAGTATACACTAGATAGATCTATAGGATATAAAAGAGTTTAAAGCCTAGAGTAAGTTTAGAATACGCTATAACTATAGAACTCCTAATAGGCTTAAGCAAAGGTACCTTAAAAAGCTTTAGAGGGGAGAAAGTAAGTCTTACGCTAGTGTTATATATATTTACTAATTAAAATATATTTAGAACGTGTTTAGAACACGTCCTATAATAATAATAATACTCTAGATAATAATAAAGCAAGTCTTGCTATATCTAACTTAACTAGATATATCTTAGTCCTAATAAGAAATAAAAGAGCACGCTTAAAAGCCTAAAGCTAGAGGGCAAGTAGTAGAGCAGTATTAGAAAGAAGTTTACTAGCCCCTTTTCTATCTTCTCTACTACTAGGCTCTTCTCCTCTACTAATAGCAACCTAAAGGTATGCTTTACAAAACACGTTTATAACACGTTCCTAACTTATTATTAGTCTATAACTATAAACTTTATAATAAAAGGCTCTTCTTAGTAATTAGGCTCTAAAAGAGAGAAAAGAAAAGCTAGAGGTAAATAAGGAAGAACTTGTCATAGAAAAAGGCACTATTTAAATTATAAAAGGTATAGTTTAAACTTAAGAAAGAGATAGCTACTTTTTATATAAGGTAGGGTTAGTCTATAAATATAGTAACTAGTTCCTAACTAGTTCTTAATATATTCTAGTCTATTATATAAGTATATATAAGTAGATAAATATATATTCTTTCTTCTTCTCTTTCTTCTTCTTTCTTCTTATACTCTATAAGAACTTTTTATATTTAAGAGTTTAATACTATTTTACTATCTATCTTTCCTAATATTATTAGATATAACTAATTAATATAGTCTATAAAGATCTTTTAAAGTTAGTATATAATAGAACGCGTTAGGAATATATTATAAACTTATTCTAATACTAAGTAGGATTTATACTAGTAATATATTAAGCTTAAGTTACTTCTATCTAATACTAGGGTATTCTCTCCTATAATATCCTACCTAAATAAAGGGTGTATAGTATTTCCTAGCAAGCTTTTCTACTAGGCTATTTAGGCTAGATTAGGGGTATAGGAACTTTATAAAGTATATATATATATAAGTTAGAACACGTTTATAATATATTAATAACTATTTTAGTGTTGCTTCTCTAATAGAGATAATCTTATCTACTACCTTAAGAGGTATTATCCTAAGGTTTAAATAGCCCTAGTAAACTATAGCAGAATTATAATACAAGGTATTGTAGAAGTAAGGATCTTCTATAGAAGCTTAATAGTAAATGCTTAAGAACATGTTCTAAACACGTTAATAATATGTTCTCTGCTAGTAAAGTAGACTATACTAAGTACCTCCTCTAAGGTTTAAGAACCCTCTAAGATAGCTAGTCTATAATAAGAAGTAGTAGCTAGAGTAGAGGCTAAAGAGGAAGTAGAGAGTAAAGAAGAAGAGTAAATAGTTGCTCCCCTTTATACTATAAATAATATTTAGCAAAAGTAGTAAAAAGGAGATATAAGTCTAGTCTCTTAAAATATATTTAGAATATATTAATAATATATTATAGCTAGACACCTATAAATACTAGATTTTTCTTTAATCTAAGGGACTACTAGAGCTTTATAATACCTATAAAAGTAAAAAGAAAAAGTTATATACTATTAAAGGACCCTATAAAAGTAAATAGTACTTTACTTTTAGTAGATAGAAAAAAAAAGAGAAGAGTAGAGAGTTTATTTTAGTAATTACTACTACCCCTTTAGGTTATATACTATTATATATTATTTATTAGAACCTATTCTTAATATATTCTTAATATGTTCCTACTTATTACTATTATTATCTCCCTCCCCCTCTCTAGTATCTTCTCTATCCTCCCTATCCTCCCTAGGCTCTATAAAAGTATACTATAAGTAGAACTAGGTAGTATTCTAGCAGGAATTAGTAAGGTCTATACTAGTATTAAAGTAATAGTCTTAAAATATATTAGGAATAGGTTAATAATATATTATAAATAACTTACTATAGCTAGGATAATTATAAGTATAGATAGTATAAGGAACCTAATAACCTTAAATCCTTAGTAGGGTAGATATAGTAATAAAGTTAAGCTATAACAAGTTAGTAACGTGTTTTTAATAGGTTCTTGCAGGCTATACCTTATTACTATTATAGCTAGTGTAAGTCTTCTTCTAAATTATATTTAGGAGGGTATTAGTATTTATAGGGGGGCCTATAGTAGCTACTAGCTAGGCTTAGAGAACTTCTATAAAATAAGTTAGTAATAAGTTTTAAATATATTCTAAATAACTTATAGTAAGGAGTATTCTAGTAATTATATATAACCTTTATATAGAAGTCTATATATATTAGTATAATAAGTTAAGAATAGGTTAATAATATATTTACTCTTTACCTTATAGACCTCCCTTATAGAGGGCTAGCTAGTCTTCTTAACCTTACTAACCTTATAGTAGGCTATATTAAGCCTATAATCTTTTTTAGCATAGGTATATAGAGTGCCCCTAGTACCTAGAATAGCCTAAGAATATTAGAACCTATTTAGAATATATTTAGAACCTATTCTTACTTTATATAAGGTGCCCTTATTATTAATCTTAGTATAGTAGTAGCGCTCTCTACTTTCTATCTTAACTACCCTATTAGGGCTAACTATAGGCTATACCCTAATATTATCTAGGATATAGCTAAGGGTAAGGTACTATTAATAGTGCTTCTATAACCTATTAAGAACACGTTCTAAATATATTTTAATCTACTTATATAGGATATAAGGGATACGTTAGTAATAGGTATAGTAGTAGTAGCTTATAGTATTACTAGTATAGAATATATTTAGAATAGGTTTAGAACATGTTATAAAATCTTATAGCATAATATTTAGTTAACCTTACTTAGCTAGCTAGTAGAGCTTAGTATAGCCTAACCCTATGCTAAATACAAGTTCACGCAGCGCTAATTCCATGGTCATATGAACTGCGCCCTCCAGTCGAGCGGAGCTCTCGTTTGGCTGTTGAGAACTAGATTTCAGTGTTGCAGGCCCTGCCCGGTCAAATAGTCATTTGTTGAATTTGGCTGAAGAGTCCGGAGAACCTCCGATTACAACTGCCTTGTGGTGTTGATATGTAGCGCGCGTAACGCAATCACTCTTCGCGGTCGCTTTGAACTTGATGATTACTCAACTCGGCCGAATCGATTGCTGCAAGCTCAGTTTTGGTTGAATCATCTCGCGCTGGTGGTCGCGCTGGTGCTCAACGTATGGTACGTTAGCCTTCTTGGGTACGCGCCGCAGACAGCCATCTTCGGTACCGGCATATGGCCATGGACAGGTCTAAGTCGATTCGAGCTAGAGCTCAACCGGATCAATCTAGGCCAAATTGCAAGCTGTCCACATTCGTGACATTAAACATTACTAGTATGTAGGTAACGTTTAGGCACAATGAAGCTCTAATGGCTTGACTCGAATGCCCGAAAGGGACTAGCGTGACTGGCCGTCAGCGGACCAAAACCTGCTGCGGTAGTTATCATAGCCAACGTGGCCGACCGATGGCGCAACCCCATCTGGTCCAAAGCGGTTCAATGTTGCATGTCCCCACGCCCATGTCAATGAATACTTTCACCACCGCACCGAAGCGTCGCCGGGAGGGAGCGTGTGATGAATGCGCTCAGAGAAAGCGAAAAGTAAGACTGACAGCGTATCACGTGTTCTGCCAATCTCGTAATGGCCCACTGACGGCAGTGTTTCTTCGCCCCTTTAGTGCGATCAGCAAAAGCCCAAATGCTCCGAATGTCTGAAACATAATCGGCATTGCGCTCTACAAACCTTCAAAACCTGGGACGGTCAGGGGAGCTTTGCAGGCACCAGGCATACATCGAAGGTCAAGACGCGTAAACGAAGTGGTATGCGATGGCAAAGTGACTACCCCCGGGAATCGAGCTTCTTTAACCCAGCATTCAGACAAGCGTCCACGAAATAGCCTGTCAATACAGATACCGGTAGACTCCTCGAATAGTACAGAGACACGGCCGACAGTACAGGTCTCTGAAGAAATATCCGCAATCGCCGCAAACTCGGAAACTCCAGTGAGCCGTGTTCAAAACAGTGTAACTAAATTGCCAACATCAGCCCTGAATATCTCAGACTATGCAGATATCGAAAACACTATCGACCTTGGAATGGTCTGCACAGAGCTCAGCGAAGAATTTTCGGAGTCTACGGCGTGTGTACCACTACTCCTCGAGAAAGGGCCAGTCGAACGTCAGTTTACGAACAGTCCGCTAAACTCGACCCTTCCACTTTCCAATTACGGGCATGTATTTTTTCAATCTCCCGTGTTCGCCGATGCATATCAAGAAGGAAGTGCTTTGTGGGGCCACTTTGTAATAAACGTAACAAAATGGTTTCTTTGCTGCGGCCCAAATGATATATCCAGGGGTGCCGACTTCCAAGACCCGTACACCGTTGCACTGCCACAATTGGCCATGGAAAGCCCAACTTTACGCTTGGCGGCTCTTGCTTTGTCTGCCTCACAGTACACAGCAGGAGGTAGCAGCAGCAAGAGTATGGAACAGTTAGCCTTGTCCATGGGCTTTGAGGCGTATCAAAATATCGCTGCCAGGAAGTTTAGCTTGTCTGATGATCGGCGTCAGTCGCTCATCCTTGTTGTCGCCGCTGCTTTTCTACTCCTACTGGATCCCACGACGTACTCTAGCGTTCTGTCCATCTCGAGAGAGGCTGCTGCATTCGTCACGGCGACGAGGGACCCCTCGAGTGAGCACGATGACGTTGGGCTTTCTGCAAACCTGCAACTGTTCAGATGGGTCGACTTGTGCGCACAGTGCTCACTAATCAAATTCGTTCCGCTCTCGACGCCGTATGTTCATGGCTTATTGGAACTGGACGAGTGGGAACTAAACTTGAGCTTACCTGCCAATACCAAGAAGAGTATAATACATCCGATGTGGTCCTTCTCAAGACGCTACATAAACCCACTCATCAAGCTGGCAAGACTCATCCGGGTGAAACTCAACGAGGGCAATTTTGCACACGACCAGACAGACAATCTCCGACTGGACAACCAGATAGAAGAACTAGAACAGATTTTGCTGGACGCACGTGAAGCAGACCTGAAAGACATGGCTGAGCACACCGACCATAGTGCTGAGATTTTACACCTCAATACAGCCATCTGCTCCGCGGTCGAACTCTTATTTTACACTAGATTAAAGGACGTGGCATGGACAACACCGTTCGTCCGTTGTCAGGTCAAAATCATATACGACAACATATCACACATACCGCCTGATAAGCCGACATCATTGGGCGTGATCTTTCCTCTCTACTGCGCCGGACTTGAAGCAGTGGATATGGAGGCCCGCGACGCCATTTCAGCTCGTCTTCGGTCCCTGCCAGGTTATTGGTCCTTTAGGGAAGGTCGCATAGTAGCAAGTCTCTTACATGTTTGGGATATTAGGGATCAATACCCCGGAGACACGTGGACAGCATGGGCATGTAAAGGTTCGTTGCGTTTATCCCTACCGTTCTAGGTCACCGGGTTGCCTGCTAATTCAAGAATTCAGTTCGCCATGATATAGCGGATTGTGTCCCAGTTTGAGTTATTACCATACTCAGGTTCATGGTTAGGTTTTTCATCTGGTTGCTTGATTGCCATGTCAACATTTTGTAAATATCACATAGTTTATATCCACAATGGGTGGCTCCTCATACTGAGTAGTTGCCATAACGCGAATGTTTCTCTGCTAAAACATGGCCATAGAATATCAAGTGAAGTATGTTGCTCGTTGTTGGGAGGTCCAAGTAGGTCCACCTATATGTATCTAGCACGCAGTCGATGCAAACAACCCTCTCAAATTAAGGTATTTTTATAGGGCATGCTTTAGCTCAGCGCACAATATAGGGCACTTTGTGCAAAGAAATAGGACATCTCGTCCCTCATGAACTTTTTTTAATTTTGGAATTGTGTACAAAATATGGTCCGTTACAAGTGTGCCGTGTTTCCCTAGTGTGGTTAGCTATTGTGATTCTAATCACTTCCGCATCCTCGTGACCCATGAAGCCTTCGCGACTGCCAACATCATGGCGACGACCAAGATAGCACCCGTCATCTGGATCAACGGATTCCCAGGCTGCGGAAAGCTCACAATCGCTTCCATTATGAAGACCTTACATGGAGACATGATCCTACTGGACAATCACAAGCTGATCGACCCTGTGGGAGCGAAGTTCCAGCAAAGTCACCCAGATTACCAAAAGGAACGATATCTATATCGGCAACACATCTTCAAAGAACATGTGAGTGACACCACTACGTTATCGCAAGTTGTGGTTTTCGCCAGTAAGACTTCATTTCCTACTGCCAATAACACTTCTTTCATTGTCCAAGATTACCAGTCGAACAACGAACTAGGGCAAAAGCTTGTTACAGAATATCTGGAAGCAGCGAGACAAGCTGGGCAACCTTTCAAGCCTGTCTACATTACTTGCGACGTTGATAAGAACATAAAGCGGATTGCCGCCCTTGAACGCGTCAACACCAGCACCAAGAAGCTCACAGATCCTGAACTACTTCGGGATTTCCGATCGAGATGCGAACTCTTCCAATTTGACCGCTGTTCCGGTTTGACCCTCGACACGACCAACACAGCACCTAAAGAAGTAGCCAGAGAACTACTTCAGTTCATCAAAGGTGACAACTAGGATGTTCTTCCGGGACCCCCAACTGCATCACAGGCCAGCATGTCTGTACGGGAACGTACCAATCGAATGACATACTGGGTCTTCGACAACAGTGAGTGAACAGTGGGACATGAGAGACCAGATCAAAGAAACTTCCTGGTTCCATATATATTTTCAATTATAGTAGACGGCATGGGGCTTTTGTCCAGTAGTAGGTCCCTGTTGACTCGGAAAGACTATCTGACATGATGAGAGTGCTACCGAACTGCTCCTAGATAGGACATGATATAACTCGTACGTTGTTCTCTCCGTCAGGACATGAAATCAATCTAACAAAGCATATGAGCAGCGTTCGTCTTCTTGAGTTGGAACCGTCCGGACCGGACCGTGGCATGAGCGAGCCTGTTGCTGAGTGGGGATTCGACTAGTGCTAGGGTGTGCGCACAACGCGTGGACCGGTTGTAGCCTGATGTATGATCTTAGCAACTCATGGACTGTGAGTTACACAGAGTTTTATAAGTCTTATTGAAGACGTGTGTCTGTGTGACGTACCATCTATTGGTGCGGGCCAGTAGATGGGGTACTTTGCCGTCGCTCTTGCTTGACACCTCTATGTAGAGATCTCTAGCTTTACAATCCTCGCTTTCATCAACCCAGATTGGTGGTGGCGTTATTATGTCTGCTCGCACCAGCGTATCAGCAATAGGCTCTACCTGGCACTTCGTCCTCCATGGAGGATGTACCGAGAGCTGCCTGGATACTGGCCGTGCTGTGTCATGAACGCCTGGGTCACGTGTGACGGGCTTAGCCTCTTGGCGGTGCTTGCCCATAGATAGCTCCCATCCTCCTAGACTAGGACAATATGATGAGATTACACACTGCATTTGGGCCCTCCTCATCGTCGGATATTGCAGGCCGTCAGAAGGAGATTCCGGTCAAACTCCGTGCAATTGGCTGGAATGTTTCCGAAGCGCTTGCGAATAGTCTCGTCTGCCAAAGAAGACGTTGTATTTGCCGTTTCCGCTCTCGAGGAATGTCCTTTGTTCAATGCCGGACACGGTGCAGCACTGACCCGAGAGGGCAGACACCAGGTATGTCAATCACAGCAATCAACAAAACTTAAAGATATTAAAAAACTTACTGAGATATTCTACTAGCTTGAGGCGGGTGTTGCCGATGGCCAGACAGGGCTATGGTGCTGTGGGGTGCGTTGAAACGACAAAGAATCCGATACGTCTCGCGAATGCGTTATTTGAACATGGACAACACACTACCGGTATGCTCGTAGGAAAAAACGCGGATAATCTGGCTCAGAAGTACGGACTCGACACTGTAACGAACAGCGCTTTTACAACCCCATTTCGCAAGGATTATTGGGAAAAAGTTATCTCTTCCGAGTATCAAGATACGGATTCGCAGATGGGCACGGTCGGTGCAGTCGTTTTGATAGTCACGGCCGCCTTGCTGCAGGTGGATCCACTGGAGGGCCCACTGGTAAGAGCAGTGGTAGGATTGGCGACACAGCGGTGCTGGGCGCTGGGCTTTACGCCGACAAAGAGCTCAGTGTTATATGGTAAGTTCGCTATATTTACCGTCGAGGGAAGAGCTAATTTCCCTCAAGCAGCGGTACTGGCGATCAGATCTTGAAGCACACAGTAACCGCCTCCGTTGCTAAGTACAACGCTTCTGGTCACAGCCTATCAGATGCAGTCCGACGAGCTCTGGAAGAGGTTTCGGGCAACGTGTAGTCCTGTGCTGTAGCTGCAGTTGACGCACAAGGCAGCATCGCTATTGAGTCTACGGCTCGACATTTCCCAACCCTCTCAGGCTCATCCACCACTTCCCCAGATTTCGGCTCCATTCAACGACGATGCATATCCTTGGTTTCCAAACAATCTATCGAGATGATCTCGTCTCGATAGGACTCTCTCGATATCCCACAACATCTGGACATACCATTGCCACTTTCGAGCAGCAGCACAACTTGTTCAATCTTGCTGAAGATGACTTTGTTCGTTTGTTCACTGTGCTGTCTCGCACAGCAGGTGCTCTCCGGAAGTACTACAAGGTTAAACGCTGCGCTCTTGTTACTGAAGGCGACAGGTCTCTGTCTCTACTTCCCTTGCATGGCTTGAACCAGGACTGGGAACCAGTCACTAGTGACATGAAAGAGTTTCATGACACATTTCCAGGGTACGTATCTTCGAAAGATGGGCCTCCCAAGGACCACGACAGACTAAATACTTTGTGCGATACCATCCAGGAGATCTCTCAGATACGAAAGCCATACAACAATCAGTTCCAAGGTTCACACGAGGACAAGAACCTCTTTGCTCGAATCATTTGGGGCGAGCTCCTGCAATACCGAGTGTGGGAAGATGATGATCATGTAGCATCCCTCACTCCCTTTCCAAATACTCCAGGCTTCACTGTCTTAGTGCCGCGGAAACGCTTGGTCAGCGACATCTTCGCCATCGACAAAAAACCGTTATCGGCATTGATGGTAGCTGCCCACAAGGTTGCTGCTATTCTCAAGCAAGCATTCAAGGTAGAGAGATGTGGCATGATCTTTGAAGGCTTCGAGATTGATCATGCTCATGTCAAGCTTATCCCTATTCAACAGTCGGCTTCGGAGACAGGCAACTTCACGGATGACGCGCCCAAGATGGTCATGCCCTTTACCAAAAGATACGAAGGATTCGCCAGTTCTCTGGACGGACCTCTAACTAAACACCTCGAATCTGTCTTGTACGACTCGAACACCATTCGTGAGACACTGCTTCCTTCTAAGCCTTTGAGCCCGCCCAATTCGTGGGTGGCTCCATCGCAACATCTCTCATCCGTCCTTCACGATCTATATTATAGGCAACTCTTTGCCCTGTAGAACATTCTATCCCACGACTCTATAGATTTCTTCTACAAGAAGCTTAAATACAGGTTCTGTTTTGTACCAATAACTACACATAGTCTTAGCTCGCCCATAGGACTCAGTTCAGATTTAGAACTTGTTCCTGTTTCTCTCCTCGGCCAACCACCATTCCTTGCTGACTCAATAAAATTTGCTCTTAAGTACTTCCTCTGTATTCAGGATGGGATCCCTAGCGTTAGCTACCTCAAAACCCCTTTCGCGGCGAAGATCCGGACAGGATGCATCTCAATCAGTTCTTTCACGTCAAGTGTAAGCTTCTCAGATCCTTTGCACAAGGAGTCTCCGTAGCTAAGCATTTTATCGCCAATTTAGTTATTGCTTTTATTTAAGACCGTGTGAAGACCGTCGAGCGTACGATCAGTACTATTACGCACTTAGAGAACTTTCTAACGCACTTCCGTTCTCACGGTAACACCTTGCTTCAAATTACCATTAATGATGCTCTAAAAACAATACACAGCATATGCTAGAAATCTGTTGTATCATCTGACCCCGCGAAGGGACACGGTCTTACTTAAGCTGGAGAAACGAAGCTGATTGAGCATTTCAGTGGAGCTGTTTGGCTTACTGAGATGGATACCCTTCTTTAGGCGTTCGTGGACAAGACATGCGCAAAAGCACGTTGTGCAGACCTTCTACTTGGTAACGGAGAGGTTCTCAGTCTTGATGAGCGTCACACAACCGCTCGAGAAGTGCAAGCTGCGCTCGAAAAGCATGAAGTTGACCCAGAGGGTTATGCCTGGTACACTGAAATTCGAGAGCATATATCGGTACTAACCACGGGCTGGGGCATGGGTATCGAGCGCTTTCTAGCTTGGGCATTCCGCCATGACGATATCCAGGACCTGACGATCGTGCTAAAGATGAAAGGATTCAGGTTTGCTCCTTGAGTTTGTTGTCGTTTAGGCAATCGCTTCAAACCCCAGACTGCGAACCTGTCTCGCGAGATAGCAAGGCTTCCCGTCCGCTCAGCCATACATAAGCAGTGTAGCGGCGGATTAGTATTTAGGTGGGTGAAAGTCTCTGGAATCTGCCAGCCCATGGATTATTGAGATCTAGAGAACTATCAGAAAGGTACGAGGTTCAGAATTTGTTGGAAAGATGATGACTTTGATCGAATCGGACTTTGATTTATTCGGATTTTAAAGGCCCTGAAACGTGAAAACTTTCAGGTCCTGGTAGTGACTCTGGGGGGATAAAACGTAACACTGTACAGAGGTCATATAGGGCGTCTGGTGTACGTCTATATGAGCTTAAAGAAGTCCAGAATTTCCCTCACTTACACAGTGTATGGAGGCGGAGCCCCAGCCCCAGCCCCTGAGGCTGAAATTATTCCTCCAGAAACCCTAGAAAACGCGTCCTCCCTCGCCCTCTGCAATTCGCCTTGCTTCTCCCTCAACTCTTCATTCGCCCTTTTAACCTCGCCCTCCAACGTGCCCGCAACCTGTTCCCGGCCCCTAATAATCTCCCCACACTTATTCCCCGCCTGGTCAACAAGCGCCATACTCTGCTTGATCTGGTCATGCATCTGCATATCACTAAAGATATTATCAAACACCACATCACTCCAGATACTTCCGATATTGATCACCACCTGCCCAAGGTCAGGGATGTCAGGAGCAACTTGTTTGAGCTGGGACTGCAGCATGCGGACTTGTTGGATGGAGGACTCTGCGCGCTCGAGATAGTTGCGCTTTTGCATGCTGGTCAGCTGCCCTCCGCCAAACATGTCGTATTGTGACATGCCGTAGGCGCTGTTGAGCGAGTTGCGGGCTTCAGAGAGCTTGGACGCGGTTTGGCCCAGCAGGAAGAGGATGTGGTGTTCCCGAGAGAGCTCGTGGTTGATATTTTGGACGTGCTCGGACGCGGTGGTACATGCGTGTTCCTTTTGGTCTTCGTTGGGGAACTCTGGGGTTGGACCTGAGAATATGGAGTTGTACAGTGCGTCGAGACTGGCTTGGAGTTGTTGGTGACGTTGGGCTTCGGTTTCGAAGCGCGAATGTTGCATGTCAGCTTCGGCTTTTAAGTGAGTGAGATAGGCGAGTTCGTCTTCGGCGGACTTTTGGGCTTGGATGGCGTCGAAGTATTCTTTTTCTTCTTTGGCCGCTTTCTCACTGAAGCGCTCTTTGCGACCTGATGCCTTGTGTGCTAAACGCCGGATTGTCGAGTCTCGGTATTTTTCATGATCTTTGAGCTCCAGGGCAGTCTTTCTCTTGAGGTCGTTTACACGCTTGGTGGTTGATGCGATTTGAGAGACTAGATCAGTGATATACGCATTTTGCTGTGCTAGCTGGGAGGGTGCAGCCTCAGTCTCTGCTAGACCCTGCAATAGCTGGGCGTTCTGCGAAGCAGCTTCTTGGATCTTGTCGTATGTAGTAGCCATTTTGAATCATTGAGTGTAACAGGTTGGTAGATGGGATACTTGCAGATGAGGTATGAAATACAGAAGGTTGAGTTGGGCCCTTTTACCGGTAGGGGTACGTCAGGCCGTCTCACTACCGGTAATCCTACCATAGCTGCTCTTGGCTGACGGCATGAAAGTTACCATACCGGTAGGCATACACTTGATGAACCTTAGCCATGGCTGCTCGCCTGATCTACATACTCCAACGAACCGCAATGTTGCTCTATTGTTCGATGTACTCATTGCGTTTTAGCCGCGTGCTGTGGTACGCCTTAGCTACCCAGTAGCTGTGGCGCTTCGTGGCTGAGCTACCTAGGTACCTAAGGTAGGTACCGGTAAGGGTACCATACTCAGGTACAACGCCTTAGATCGAGTCCGGAACCGTCCTCTTGCCACTAGACTCTTTGCCCGTCTTGAGACATGCTTGATCTGTCGACAAGGGAATCTCAAATTGTCATGCACAGTGGATGTGTCACAAAGAACAGGTTTTGGTCTCTAAATAGCCCGAGGACGGGAATGTCCAGCCGCTCTAGCTTCCGAAGGCAAGGCGTGCCTAATTCGGTGACACCAACCACCCCCACCGTGATGCACGACGTAGAGACGGGATAGTAACTACAACTTTAGCGCAGCGCTGTGTAGCAACGCCTCAGACAACACCCAAAGACGAAAACTTCCTCTCCAATTCCATCATACTTCCTCCCCTCTCTTGGCCATCAGCGAACGACAATGGCTGCCGAAAAGCTGGGAACCTATGCCCACAAGCCCCGCGTCTTCATCTTGTCAGATATCTCCAATGAGGTTGATGATGCGCAGTCACTGGTCCGCTACCTTCTTTACGCCAACCAATTCGAGACCAAGGGCCTTGTAGCATGCACGAGCGCATCAATGAAGAATGAAGTCCATCCAGAAGTCATGGAGAAGATCATCGATGCCTACGCAAATGCGGTCGACAATCTCAACAAGCATACTCACCCAGACCATCTGTACCCATCTGCAGATCATCTACGGAGCTTGATCAGATCAGGCGCCGAGGTATGTTCAACCCACACCGTCGACTCGCCTGTAGACCTCCACCAGGACCCAAGTCAAGTCACATGACCAACAGCTTCTAATATGAATTGGACTTCTAGAGCTACGGCATGACCGCCGTCGGAACCGACATTACTCTCTCCCCTGGAGCCCAACTCCTCTACTCTTGCATCACAACCCCGTCTACCCAACCCCTCTGGATTCTCTGCTGGGGCGGAACGAACACGCTTGCTTCTGCCCTCCTCAAAATTGACGATGACTTCGACCCGGACGACTCCAAACGTCTGCTCTCCCGGCTCCGCGTGTATTCCATCAGCGATAAAGACGATACTGGTGCTTGGATACGCAACTCCTTTCCCGATATTTTCTACATTGCCAGCATCCACGGGTGGAACCAATACGGTCTGGCTGCCTGGACCGGCATCTCTGGGGAAAAACACTACGGCTTCGATGTTGGGGGCCCTGATGGGTCGAAATGGGAAAAGGATTGGTTAAAAGAGAACATCCAAGTCGGTCCGCTGGGAACCATGTATCCAGATCCCATGCATGTCGCAGAAGGAGACACACCAAGTCTCCTCCACCTAATCCAAAACGGCCTCAGTATACCCGATCACCCAGAATATGGGTCCTGGGGCGGCAGGTATGTACGTACTGATCTTAGCACCGAGGGTCTAAACAGCAGTCATTACTCCGATGCCGCAGATCGCGTGGTAGTGCAAGGAAGAACATACACATCCAACCACGCGACCATCTGGCGCTGGCGCGATGCCTTCCAGAACGACTTTGCGGCGCGTATGAGATGGACTACGGAGGCGGAGTTTGCAAACGCAAACCACCATCCGGTTATCACTGTCAATGATCTTTGCGGTCTTGCGCCCGTGAGGATCGAGGCTGAGGCCGGGAGCACAATCACACTGGATACAAAGGGGACGTATCATCCCAATGGCAGTGCAATGACATTCAAATGGTGGCATTATCGAGAGCCGAGTGCTACACAGTGGTCAGTCGAGGCCGAGGTTGCGGAGGTGGGTATTACGGCTGTGGATAAGGGTTGCGAGGGGAAAAAGGTGCAAGTTAAGCTGCCGCCGGCTGAGCATTGTGCAGTCGAGTTGCAGAGTAAGAAGCCGGTTGCTCAGGGGCAGTTGTTGCATCTTATACTTGAGGTGACAGGGGAAGGAGAGCTCAATCTCACGAGCTATAGAAGGGTGCTGATACAGGTTACGAACAAGGATTTGAGGGGTGGGGGGATGGTAAAGGGGGAGTGTGAAGTAGTGATGAAAGACGGCTGAGCGTGATTTTGGATACAGTTCGCGTCATTGAACTATGGAAAATTAGGGTAGAAAACTATTGCTATCTTCTTTTTCCAGTTTATGCTGTTTTTGGCATTGGGGGGACATCTTCCTGGTGTAGATGTAGTGACTATGACACCTGACTTTATTGAACATAGCCGTCACAGTTTTGTGTTTGTTTCTGCTTTCCGAGTTAGCTAACATGTGCCTGACTTGCACAATAGAGATGATTCCTGACAAAGACATGGAAATGTTGACCAATCTCGCAGTGCTTGTATCGAGTCAGGCACAGGTTGCGTGTAGATCAAGTTGTCGTCTGTCTGCATATCGATACAAATAGCAGTGTGATTCGACTTCTTGTTACCAGCGCTGCCACATGCATGGGCAACATATAGACTCGGCCATGTTCTTGAGGGATATACTTCCCACACAACAAAGTCCCATAGCCTTCTACTAGACGGGTGCGGGGTTGACTAGACTAATTTAGGGCGAGTGAAGGTACCCTGAGCTGGACCCAACACACACCCCAGAGACCCCAAAAAAAAAGAACGGCGTCATCCCACTCTGTCAGCAACCGCGCAACAGCAGAGGGACGCATGGTACGGTAGCGAGGTGCAGTAGCCAGCTCGGCTTTGCACACCATGCCTCCTCCAACCCGCGACTATCATCACTGTCTCATTCTGGGACTCGACAGCTCGTCGTACGCCAACTGAGCTCGCCCATCTCTTGTTCCACCACCATGGACCCTCTTCTCGCCGAAGCAGCCGCAGCCACGTCCAAAACTCCCACCCCGCCCAACTCGCCCCCACCAGTCCAACCAGGCCGCCTATTTGCGATTGGCGACATCCACCTCTCCTTCAAGGGCAACCGCGAGGCTCTTGAGAAGCTCCTTCCACACCCAAACGATGACCTGATCTTGTGTGGCGACGTGGGCGAAAGTGTCGAGCACTGCCAATTGGCTTTCACAAAGGCAAAAGAATGCTTCCGACGCGTCTTCTGGGTCCCGGGCAACCACGAGCTCTACACGCTGCCGTCACAGAAAGAGCATGGAGCACGAGGCGAGGCCAAGTACATGGAGTGCGTTAGCGTCGCACGGCAACTGGGCGTCATCACACCAGAAGATGAATACACGCTATGGGAGGGCGAAGGAGGGCCATGCTTGATTGCGCCCATCTTCACGCTGTATGACTACAGCTTCCGCCCAGATCATGTCAAGCTGGAAGATGCGCTCGCATGGGCTCGCGAGCAGGACATTGAGGCAACGGACGAGCACCTGCTGCATCCGGATCCGTATGCCTCGCGCATCGAGTGGTGCCATGCGCTCGTCGACAAGACGGAAGAAAAGCTCGCTGCAGCCGTGGCAGGGCATCCAGGCGTCGAGGTGGTCATCATAGGCCATTGGCCGCTGCGCCAGGATCTCGTCCTGCTGCCCAACGTGCCACGCTTCTCCCTGTGGTGCGGGACCAAGAGGACAGAAGACTGGCACAAGAGGTTCAACGCAAAAGTGGTTGTGAGTGGGCATTTGCACATTAGGCGCACCGACTGGGTGGAGAAGACGCGATTTGAAGAGGTGAGCTTTGGCTACCCGCGCCAATGGAAGGACTGTCAAGATCGCGGGCTGGACATGAACGACCTGCTACGAGAAATCCTTCCTGGACCGGAGACGCCGCCTGCTGACCAACATGGCACTATTTTCAGACGATATGGATGATGGACTGCTACCGTATGTGCTACAGGACGACGAGGGTGGAGGGTTATATCCGTTGTATTATCCGATAGTGCCTGACTCGAGCCACGGCGAGCCATCTACCTACACTACGCTATCTATCACTTGATGCGCCTCGGGTATATTGAGCGCCCAGTTACCTAGCCACGTTTGTTTCATCCATTGCGTTTTGCACAGTCCTCGCGACATGGCAAGAAGAAGGAGAAGACGAAGAAGAAGACGACGACGACGAGATGGACGAAGATGGACTGCACTCTCGAGCCTACTGCACTCTGCACTTCACTTGTCTTTGCTTGGCTCTACTCACACCCGCACCTTCCCTAGAGTAAGTACCAGGAAAGCACAACCCACCCCGCACCTGCCCAATCCGTCCCCCGCCCCCCCCCCCCCCCCCTCCTCCGCCCCGGCCCCCCCGCCCCCCCCCCCTTCAACCGCCTCCTTTTTTCCTCTCTTACCTCCTGCGCGGGGCTTTCCTGTTCGATTGGTTGTCGATTCTTCTTTGTTGAGTGCTATGGCCGCGGCAAAACCCTTTTCCCATAGTGCACCCTC